ATCAAGAACACTTGAATCTATGGGAAGAGGTCAAAATACCAACATCAGCAGGAGTTTGGAAGAAGATGATTCTGGCCCTCAGGCATGACTTTGAGGGGTCAAGACATCAGTGGAGGAAGTAACTGCAGATGTGGAAACAGCAGGAGAACTAGAATTAGAAGTGGAGTCCAAAGGTGGGACTGAATTGCTGCTATCTCGTGACAGAACTTGAATGGATGGGGAGTTGCTCCTTATGGAGGAGCAAAGAAAGCCGTTTCCTGTGATGGAATCTACTCCTGGTGAAGACACTGTGAAGACTGTTGAAAGGACAACAAAGGATTTAGAGTCTTATGTAAATTTAGTTGCTAAAGCAATGGCAGGGTTTGGGAGGATTGATTCAGTTTTGAAAGAAGTTCTATTGTGGGCAAAATGCTGTCAAACAGCATCGCATGTTACAGGGAGATCTTCATGGACGCAAGAGTCCATGGCGGCGACCTTCACTGTCATCCTAACTGAAGAGAGTGACAGCCACCCTAGCCTTCGGCACCATGAACACCGAGGCAAGTCCCTCCACCACCAAAAAGGGTTATGACTCACTAAGGCTCAGAAGATTGTTAACTTTTTTTTTTTTTTTTAGCAATAAAGTATTTTTTACTTAAAGTATGTATATTTGTTCAACATAATGCTATTGCACACTTAACAGGCTATAGTATCATGTCAACATGACGTTTGTAAGCACTGAGAAGTCAAAAATTTCATGGGACTCCCTTTACTGCAATATTTGCTTTATTTCGGGGTCTAGAACTGAACCCCCGACATCTCCGAGGTGTGCCTGAAAACACATCGCCTTTTCAGTGTTTGTCCAATAGACTGGACAAAGACAAAGACCACAGGCAGAGAAGTTATCCCATCCAACATCAAGAACCATAAATCCTGAAGGGTCTCTGGTCAGGAAGATGACTCTTCACAGAGCATAAACGCTGTTTTGAACAGGTCTCGGTCACTGCAACTCACAGGGTCTAGTTTATATGTAGGTATTTCCTGTTTTCAAAATGAAATCATCACCTTGAGACATACATGCACAGTTCCTTAGAGTTCCACTACAAATGCTAACGTCCCAGGCAGTACTAGCCCCTCCTCCCACCAGGACCTACAATGGCAGGTCCGTGTTGAAACTCCAGGGTCACTGAGGGAGAGATCTCTGGAGGGTAAGCCACTTGTTCTACAATCAGGTGCCTTTCTGTGTCATGACTGACCACACCAGCCCTCTGGCCACCTTCTGTGTCATGACTGACCACACCAGCCCTCTGGACACTTTCTGTGTCATGACTGACCATACCAGCCCTCTGGCCACTTTCTGTGTCATGACTGACCACACCAGCCCTCTGGACACTTTCTGTGTCATGACTGACCACACCAGCCCTCTGGACACTTTCTGTGTCATGACTGACCACACCAGTCCTCTGGCCACTTTCTGTGTCATGACTGACCACACCAGCCCTCTGGACACTTTCTGTGTCATGACTGACCACACCAGCCCTCTGGCCACTTTCGGCTGAGGCTGTGGAACTGTTTCATCAGAAAGCCCTGCTGTCCTGGGGCGCGGTGGGGCCCATCGGCCCTCTCCACGGAGTTGTGCTTTATGATCCTTTAACGAACTGTTCCTGCCTGGTTGGAGCAACAGCCTCTTCTAGTTTGGAGAACTTAGAAAGCTGCCTGTGATCTCCATGATGCATGCCCTCCCATCAGCAAGGAAGGGGCATGCCATCTGCTAGGCGCATCCCCCACTCCGGGCCGTACCCATCACGGACACCTGGCACTGCAGGGGCCTCCAGCAACCTGCCTGCCCGATTTCACCCGCCAGGACGCTGACACTGAAGGTTAACTCACTGGCCCTTTGGCCTATGGTTTGTTAGTAGGAAAGAGAATTAAAATCTGGGCCCACTCAACTCCCAAACCGTGTCATTTAACACTTCGTGCTGCCCACTGGGGAGACGTCAAGTGAGAAACAGCGATCTTCATCTTATGAATTGAACTTTTCTTCAAAGAGAGCCAAACGATTACCCACATTTCAGACTGCCCCCGGAGGAGCCCACAGGAAAGCGCTCGGTGAAGTGACCAGGCGAGTCATCCCTGTGAAGCAGTCCTGTTCCGAAGGCGCAGAGTCCTGCACCAGGACCAGTCCGCCCAGGGCCTTGGTGGGCTGACCCTGGGTGAACTCGCCGGCTCTCAGCGCTTTTGCACGGTGGCCTCTAGGTGGCGCAGGAAGCGCGTGGTTCCCTTCACCCGCCCGGCTCGGCTCTTTCTGCTTGGCCCTGGGTGTTCACGGGGAAAACCTCTGCTTGTCGGAGCTGCTGGAAGCTGAAATCATTACTAACCAATCTTTCCAATTTCTCAATTCTCTCATGGAACAGGTCGCTGGAAGACGTGTCAGAGGAAGGACTAAAAAGGGAAACGGAAGAAAGAACCACGGGAAGGTACGGGAAACCAACATCCTCCTTCGCGTCTTCTCTGCCCAAGGTCTCTGCTTTTGCTAAAATCACTTTTCAGGCCCTGAGAGAAGAGGCCACAGAAGTGGTAAACGCCTTAAAAGTACATCAACTTGACGTTTGGTTTGGAAAACAGCACACCTTGTTTTTCATCCAGTACTCACGAAACGGAACGGTGGCCGCTGGGAATGAGACGCAGAAACACGAAATTGTGGGGAAATGAGCAGCCACGTTAGGGCACCGGGAGCTGCCCTGACTTTGCCTCTGGAATCCTCCAGTGACTTCCCACCCGGCCAGAGCGGGACGATGAAAAGGAGGGGCTTCCTCCCTGCACCCCCATTCCGAAGACTCCTCGAAGAGACCTGTAATGACCCGAGAACCTGTAATAACCTGAGGCCCCCAAAGTGTCCGCCCTCTTTCTCCATCTATCACACACATGGCCAGAAGGAGAAATGACACTGTACATTCTGGGATTCAACTGTCCCCAACAAAAGCCACTAGGATCTGGGGCAGAGACACCGGAAGTCCTGGAGCCAGGAAGCAGTAGGTGGAAAGAGCTAGAAGTCTGCATTTTTCTACGTGATTCCAACGCACCGGGAATCTGGGGTGTAGCTGAAGGCGGAAGAGAAAAGGGAATAACTGGGAACATTTAGAATGCACGTGGAAGGAATGGGGGGCGGGTAAGGTAGAAGGTAAGCACCCCCACATTCCCTCGGCTAAATCCCTGGAAAACGGGCTCTGCCAACAGTCCGGTGAGGTGAGAGCAGGGCCCGGCCACCCATGCACCGCGAGCATCGACATGCACCTAGCGCAGGAACCCTCACCCGGCCCACCAGTCATAAATCTGGTTGCTTACATAAAAATAAATAAATAAAATAGGAAGAAAAAAAAACCCACAAAAAACAGATTCGACTAAAAGACACAATGGAATGTTATAGTTAAAACATCGACTATGATGGAATAGAAATGATATCTCATGTCTGCAGAGCGCGTTGCAAAGCTGAATGCAACATTTCACAAGTATTCTTATTAAAAGAGACTTGCAAAGACTGCCACTATTAAAACAATAACTCAGGCTGTTAGTTTCTTTTCTTTTTTTTTTTTAATTTAACAGACATTACTGGAGCGTTTCAAACACATAATCATTTCTAATCCACTGCTGGTTAAGATGGAAAATAGAGCAATTTGGTAATATTGAAAGCCTTATAAATACACACCCTACAAATGACAGCTACACAAATTAGTCCTGATATAGTGATCACGGGCGTAAATTAATGGGCAGCGAAGATGTTAATTACAAACTGGATGGTAATTTCAAAGCACTGAAACACTCAGGGAAAGGGCTTGGTTAAATAAACTGTAGTACAGCCAACTAATGAAAAACTCCCCAGCAATGAAAACCAAGATGTGGGAATGCGTCTGCAAAGCAGTGACAGTTCCCATGAAAGACAAGGTTCCCCAGATGACACACAAAGCGTGATAGCCATGTGTGTAAACATTAATGTGTGTGTGTGCATTCAAGGAAATAGGACTTGGCAATGATAAAATAATGCCTGGTGATTTATAATCACTAAAGCACAAATCTCATTTTTGTGGGTCATGCATGATGGAAGTTAAAGTGGAAACCCAACTTTCTTTTTTTTTTAATCCTCACCCGAGGACATTTTTCCAGTTTTCGTTCAGATAGAGTGGGAGGGAGAGAGAGGGAGAGAGAGAGAGAAACATCGACGTGAAAGAGACACATCGAGTGGCTGCCACCCGCACGACCACCCAGGGCCGGGGACAAACTGCAACCGAGGTACGTGCCCTTAGCGGGAACCGAACCCGGGTCTCTCTGGACCGCAGGCCGACGCTCTAACCACTGAGCCAAACCAGCCAGGGTGGAGACCCAACTTTCCATCGGCAGAATGTGAGCTGACTCAGCCCGAGTTCATGCCGAAACGTGACAGTGGTAAAGGCAAGAACGAGACAGATTTATGCTCAGGACGAGCTGTGTCCTGATGTGCAAAGTGAAGGAAAAGAAGAGCCCAGAGACATCTCATTCGGATCTGCAGCAAGACAGAACTTTCAGGGAAACGTCTGTTGCGTCCATTTCCTCCCGCTTGAATTTCAGGAGACTCTCGCTTCAGTGTGGATACGCAATCCATGCGCGTAAGGAACCCCATCTCTGACCCAGTGACTGGATCCATCCCGCAGTCGCCATCACCCACTTCATTCAAAACAGAACCTCAAGCATCTCGCGGAGCCTGAATGGAGTCTAGGGCCTCCGGGCTCGCTCCTCTTGGTTACACTTAATCAGAGCTGGATAAACAAACTCGGTATTAGTCACACTTGTGCAAGTTATTCCGTTTCACTGCGGCCAGCAGAGATTTTCATGTGATCCTGTTTAAACCAGCTAAACATCTGGAAAATGTGAAAACGACTCCGCGAGGCGCAGGCGGACCACACGCTTGGAGGAGAGACATGAGTTATGCAGCTGAGGTCAGCCCCACGGCGCTGGAAGGAGGGACCCCGCTGGGCAGGCGTACTTACGATGAAGCCAAGTTTCTTATAGTCCCGGGTGTACATGGACTTGCGCTTCTCCATGCTGCCACTGCTGGCGTTGGGCTCCGACTCCACATCAAAAGCGATTCTTCGAAGTTCAAATATGATGTCCCTCTGAGCCTGCGGGGACAGGGAGACAGGAGGGGAGGGGGGCGGCTTTCACTGTGCGGCAGGGCGCGCACTCCCGGCTTCCCGGGGTTAGGCATGAATCACTGCGTTAAGGAGAAAAACAAAACCAGACAGATCAAAGGCGTCTCGGGTTGTCAGGCTGGGCTCGGCACGCTCCTTCTCGTCCTGTCACTCGCTCTGCTGGTCAGCCCTGGCTTTACTCCACGGCCAGCCTCACGGCCAAGTCATTTTGGAATACTTGCATCCATTGTTTGGAGTTCCTAAAGGAGCCCCGACTAGGACGGAGGGCTTGGGCTTGGAGACAGCCCGGCTGGAGAACGGGGGTGACAGAGACACACAGCGCGAGGCACAGTGTGAACAGTCCTCAGATGACGAGGAATCTCTAACTCCACTGAGAAGTGCCCTCATGGAAACAAGCCCTTAAAAATGGTCAAACCGATCGATTTTCTGTATATTTTACCACCATAAAAAACGTATTTTAAATAAATAAAAGAGGGCTTCCCAAACAGGGAGGGCTGCTCCTGGGAACAGCACTGTCTTCCTTCACTCCGTGTACGAGTGACGGTCTCCTCTCTCAGATGGTGGCTGCTGGCCTGGCCACAAGTCTGGGGCGTGCGAGGTGGCCTCTCCGTCACCCCCAGTCACAGGGTCTCGCGCCACGCGGGAAGCGCCCGGCAGTCACACACGCCACATGTGCAGCACATCTGCAGCCCATCAAGCCCTCCGGGGCCGGGCGGGGGCGTCCCCTTTCCAGGGAGCAGCGCTGCTGAGGCTGAAGGTGTGCAGCAGCAGGCCCCCCGCTGTCTCCCCCGACTCTGCCCTCACACACCAACGTCCCCCAGAGCCTCCCGGCTGCAGACATCACCTTCGTGCTCGACAGACAGAGACCTGGAGAGAATCACAGCCAACAGCCCACCGACACCACACAAGCCCAGAAACCAGGTCTGACCTGGGCCCCACCTTTGGACTGATCGCTGGAGAATGGAAATCGCTTCCTCAACCTGCAGAACCACATCCCACAGAGCAACCAAGTGGCCCCCTAGTCCGGGGACTTCACCAAAGCGATCACCAGTGAGGGTACTGGGGCCAAGGGCCAAGGTCAGTGGCCCTGTGATGTCAAGATTTCTTATCCAGTGAAGAAAGGATTTGCGTGCATTCAATGTGCCGTGAAATAGTCCGTTCATTTTATTTTCTGATCCTAGAGTCACCTACATTTGAAATCCATTTCCCCAAGTCGAGATGATAGAAATCAATGATCTCATCATCTAAGATCCCCGGGTTTCAGAGTAGCCCAGGAAAGACGCCAATGGCAGCCGCTCGCCTCCAGTGCCCTCGCTGCTGTCCGGGGAGCGCTCACCTGGTCCTGGGGGTCCATCTTGGCCATCATCCTGTCCTCCAGGAGGTTGAAGGTCAGCACCTGCAGCACATACAGCTGGTGGGCCATTTCGTTGTTGATGGCCCGCTGAGCGCGGATGACGTGCTGGGGAGATGGTACACAGAGAAAAGTTTTGAAAAAAGGAAAAAAGGAAAAGCAAACAGCTGAAGTTAACGCCCATCCTTATGCCAAGTAGATCCTCCTTCTTTTGGAGGCCCCGGGGATGCAGGTGGGGGAGCTGTGCTTCAGAAGAGAGCTCGTGAGACAGGCGACTTGGAGCTCGCCTTTCTCTTCCGGGGCCCAGTAAGGTTCCTACTTTAGGCCGGAAACCAGGAAAAGACCTACTGTGTGCGGGGAACAGCAGAAGGTGGAGGGCACTGGAGATGCCCTGGTGACATGGCCTCTGAGCCCAGGAAGGAGCGCCCGAGGGGACAGCGCTGGCCCAGCACTGGGGAGGGCTGTGGGGTGGCTATGGGAGGGCTATGGGGTGGTTGTGGGGAGGCTGTGGGGAGGCTACGGGGAGGCTGTGGGGAGGCTACGCTGTGGGGAGGCTACAGGGTGGCTATGGGGTAGCTATGGCAGGGCACAGGGGGCAGCCGGTGCCCACGTCTGCTGTCGTCTCACCCACGGCTGTCTGACAGGTGAGCCCCCCTCTAAACGGGGAGAAGTTCCAGAAGCAACACGCACCAGCAAAGCACCTATGAGACCTGTGGTCAATGCACTGTGAGGACCATGGGAGCCCCCCGGTGCGGTCAGGGTGTCCCCGAGCTGCACCTCACTGGCCTGGCAGCAACTGAACGAGAAGTGGAATGAACGGCGCTTCCTCTGGGGAACAGAGCCGGAGGGGACACATCTGAAAGGAGAGGCCCGAGGTGAGGGGCCTTGTCTCCCTCCCCAAAGCGGGTCTGAGACGGGATCCAGCACCGGGGCCTCACGCACCCCCACTCTGGCTGGGACCACAGTGGTGCCTTAAACACGGCCGACCGGTTGCCCGGGGCAGCAACCATTCAAACCAGTTACGTTGAAGATGCTAAACCCAACCAGGCCTGCTGTCTCGGAGAGCTTTCTCCTGGCGCCCCAACCTGGCGTGCGCCTGAACGCCACACCCTGCGAAGGGGGAGGAGGAGGAGGCATAGAAGGAAGTCACAGACCCAGACCTATGGAGGCTGAGGGGCGGGAAGCCGGGCGGTGGGATGAGAGGCTGGACTATCGCCACAGCCGTTAGCCTCCAGAGCAGAGGGCCCGTGCACAGCACACATCCGGTAGCCAAGGCCTGTGGGGCCGACATTTAGGTCTTGGATCCGTTCTGCGTGTGTTCTGTAAATGGTGTGAGAAGGTGGCCGGACCTCACCACCTGCTGCGGCACGGATGGGCCTAGGGGCTGCGGTGCTGAGTGAATCAGACGGAGAAGGGTAAGTGCCGTGTGACCTCACATATATGGAATCTAGTGAACGAAATAAACGAACAAACGAACGGAAACAGACTCACAGATACAGAGAACAGACTGATGGTTGTGGGGGGGCTTTGGGGGGGTCTGGGTGAAAAGGGTGAAGGGAGTGAGAAGCACACATCGGCTCCCACGGAACAGTCACGGGCTGCAATGCACAGCACAGGGAACCTGGTCAGTCATGTTGTAATAACTGTGTAGGGTGCCAGGTGGGTACTGGAAACGTTGGGGGGCCACACTGGAAAACGTACGATTGTCTGACCGTTATGCTAGACACCTGAAACTAATACCAAATAACGTCAAATGCCAATTGCAACGGAAATAAAAGACAAAGTGAACAGGAGCTGCAGTACATGGATATCTATTCTAGTAGCAGCTCAAAAGTGTCTTCATCCCAAGTTCTTCCCAGAGAACACGAAACTGGACACTTCAGCTGTCAAAGCCTCACGGGAGAAGTCCCACTGAAGTTAACCCATCTTTGAAACACGGGGGCCAGAGTCACTCCACCTGCCCCCCACGGTGACATCAGCCTCAGGCTGAGACCTTCATCCCACGCTTCAGCCCTTCCTGTCCCAGGCGCCTCCCTGCGCAAACACCGTCCCTGAACGATGCATCAGTGTTACAGCCGCCACTTGCACTGAGAGCCGGGATGAAAAAGAACCGGAGTAGGAGCCTTCCGCAGTGTCTGCTAAACCTTCTGGAATCTAGAATCCATGCCAGTCAGAGTCCAGTTCCGGGGGGAAACATGTCATCCCTCAAGAACTGGGGTACCGCTTTGGTCAAACAATGAAAATTACACTCATATGTTTCTCTTCATCCTAGACAGCCAGGATATTTAAAATCAAACCTGATGACAAATTATAGTTATTACTGTGGGCGTGGGGTTCTAGAATATTTATTTTGTTTGCCCTCGGAAGGTTTTTAATTTTTAATGTCTTCACTGTATTGGAATGTGCATGCGTGTGTGTGTGTGTGTGTGTACGCACAAGCTTGCAGAACTCCTCCTTGGAATCAACCACACGTGCTTCTTTCAGCCTTCAGTTAAAAGTCGAGTTGCAGATCAGGCCTCAGGAAAGCTTGCAATTTGGTTTATTGTCAAACATTCACAATCTAACACGTAGGGCCTCTTTGCCACCAAGGTTCCCGGTCACGTTTGCACTGCGTGGTTTCCACACACGTCTTTCCTTTCTCTTGCATAGGGGCCCGGGAAAATGATGGCGAAATGTCAGGACTGCTCCCAGGGTCTGATATGTTTCCAGCTAGCTCCCTCATTAAAAACAGTATAAGCTCAAACTTGTAGACATTTTAAGTCACGGAGCCCCAATTTCCTTATAGTTTTAGCAAAGCTAAAGCCATGGAGCGTATAATAAACCTGCCCCACTGAGAGATGCCCACCCCTTCCTGCAGGAAGGTCCTTCCCTCTAGAGCAGTGTCAGGGCCCCTCCCTCCCAGCAGAGGGAGCCATGCTGTGGGCAAGCTTGTTCCATTTCCAAAGTGCACCGTCTCCTGCTCCCTGGTCCTGCTGCCTCGCCACAGAAGCAAGTCCCAGAACAAACCGCGAACCACCCTCAAAAGAGGAGAGAAGTAAATGCACCATCCGTGCCTCCCCAGCCAAGCGGACCCAGCACAGGTACTCACTGTTAAAATGATGGAGCGCAGCTGCTTCTGAGCCAAAATATTCGCCATCTCCTGTGGAAGGAAAACACCCCCCCACGAAAGCTAAAGTTAGAAAGATCCATTTCAGCACAGTCCAAAATGAGTTGATCCTGGGGTGTGCTTCCTCACCCGATATCAGCAGTATTTGTTGCGAAAGAATGGATTCCAATAGGCGGTGGTATTCCAGTTATTTTTTGAATGTTCTGTTTAGAAAACAAAGCCATGCCCAAAAGCGAAGAAAGGAAATCTGGCACCCTGAATTTTTTTTTTTTAAGGCATTTCTTCCTTCCAGGAAAAGGGAATGCTGAATACAAAGAATTCAGGCGCTCTGGTGACAGCAGTGGCTGTCCTTGGGAAGGCCATCACTTCTGCCCCATAGGCGTGCAGAGCGCTCTGACCGGGCCACACGCACCTGCACCATGAGGAGCAACAGTAGAGAAGCATCGCTTTAAAGATCTAAGTCTTTTACATTTCATTCCAGTCTGTGCAAAACCAAAGAGCACTTAGTACGTACTCCAGGACTGGAAAGTCGTTGGTTAAAGTGAACGGAGTGGCTGGAGATGGAGCAGAGGGCAGACATCTGGGCAAACGCTCAGCTGCGGAGTCCGCCCGCCACGGCCAGCCCTCGCTTCTGCACACGGTGCTGGGGCTGTGGCCTGCCCAACTGGCACACAGGATTTGCGGGTGACTTTATTAAAGGAAATGATTCCCAGATGCCCTTTCCAGATGTTGACAAATGGATGCTAAGGGGAAATTAAATAGTTGACTACAATCTTGTTGCAAACATTCAAAAATAAAAATACTGCTCATATTCAGGAAGACACTTGAATGCGAGGGGGGGGGGCGGGTTGCATTTTTCGTGTTGCTACTTTTACTGAGTAGAGAAGAAAGTCAACTACGATTCAAAAACACAACCATGGATTTGACTGAGGTTAAAATCAACTTGCAGAAAGCAAAGGACCCAGAAGGCGGGGAGGAAGTACGGGGGCGCAGGCAGGGGGGCAGGGTCGCTGAGTGCCGACAACGGGGACACGGGGACTTACAGTCAGAGGACAATCAAGGATGTCAACGGTGCTCTCTGCACCAACCTAACAGCGCCATCGCCACCACAGAAAGAGAGCCAGGAGAGAAGAGGGGTGGACATTCAGAGGACTCTGTTAGAGGTCACACGGTCTGTTTAGCGCCCCTGCTGACCCACGGCGTTGATGAGGATAACAGATAAATACTGTGAGGGCTTCAAAAGGCTGGATGGCATCAAAGCCAAAGTCTAATCCTAAGTCCCCTCCCAACGTCTTGAAAACAAGGCCACAGCCAGAAGCAGGTCAATGGCTGTGCAGAGAACCTGCCCTTCCATGTGCGTAGAAAACAGCGCTTTCTTCCCCATCGAAATAGAAAGGTCCTTCTTTTTTTTTCTTAGACCAAACGAAAAACAAAATGACCCAAAGGGTTCTATCGTTCTTTTAATTTCTCTCCTTTGTGGAAATAAAATTATTCCCACACAAAGAAACGATGACAACAACAATATTCTCTGGGACGACAACAACAATATTCTCTAGCTTATTGGTTTATACAATGTTAAAGTAAGTTAGAAGGGACATATATTTCCAACATCAAGAGCAATTATTAAAATTATCTGTTTATATTATTTATCTTCTGCCTACGACAAGGGTCACCTCAAGGGCACAGAGATGCCCTTTCTCTCTTTGTACTCCAAGCCCAGAGTGCAATGTCTGGCACAGAGTAGAGAATAAATGTTTCATAAAAGAATGAAGGAGTATTTTCCATTACCCTCCTTAAGACACATGAGTTCGGTCAGAGAGAAATAAAAAACCCATTGTCCTCACCATGGACTTTCTTGATCCAATATTAGGGAATTGCTTAAGCAATCAATTCCATGGAGGATATTTTATACTGTTATGATGATATCAAAGTATAGGTAGGTATAAATATGGAGATTTTATATCTTGTTTTAAATTCTAATGGTTCTATTAAGCAAGTAAAGTATGACCAACTGACAAATTTAAAACAAACAACTTGCAGAAATTATATGCAAGCTAAAAAGGTTTTATTTTTCAATCTGTAAAAACTTTCTCTGGCTATAAAGACTACAAGATTGAATACCTGGTAGATAAAAGATGAGAATTATGGAACTTAATGGCGATAAAGGATAGACTTTTTAAAAAAACTTGTTTCCAAAGTTCTGTCCAATTAAAGTTGATTTAAATCTGGATGTAGAAATAGTGACATGGAAAGATGTTCACAAAATCTTGTTTAGTTTTAAGAGCAGTTTAAAACAACAAATCCGTGCACAAGGTGTGACCCCGCCTGTGAATAGTGATGCGCCAGGGCGTCTCCGCACAGAGCGAAGCGGAGGTAGGACCCCGAGCTCCGCACGGTGTGAGCCGGTGCACCGACTTCTCCCCGGGGATGCAACGCATTCTAGGACTCTTTCAACTCCTTCCTCTGCAATCTGCATTTTCCGGCTTTTCCGCAAATCTTTTAACCAACCAAGTGTTTTTAAGATAATGCTTATCAAAAGTATACATAGTTGTAGAGAAATCTGGAAGGGATTTTGCCAACAGGTTTGCCATGAAAATGGTAAAATGAATAATGGCAAGTAGCTCTGAGAAAAAGGATCCTTGCGGTTATTTTTATTGCAAAGACTAAAGCAGTCATGGGATACTCTAGATTTTTCTGCTGGTTGTCAGTTCAATTGTTTTTCTTTCGTGGTTTAAAGCTATTAGACTATCCTTTGTGATTTAGTATTATTATTGTTGTTGTTGCAATATACGGCCACATTGTGTTACCTCAGTCACGTACTGCCTAATTTAAAAACACACACACAGAAAAGTTTGACTGCAGAACTGCAGGCTAATGCCATGCTGCCATTCCGTTGCCTTGTCTCTGTCATCACTGTCCTGCAGGGAGCAGAGATCGGCACCTGATTCTCCGTTTCTCCAGTCATGTGACTCCAGCTCAGCAGATTAACAGTAGTTCTGATGGACAGGAAGACACACTGTGTATGTATCTTACCCATGTCTAGGTCCAGAGGTCCAAGTGAAGTGAGCCGCCATCCCCTCTAACCCAACCTCTTCTCCCACAGGGTAAGGACTGTCCCCAGAGGGCAGACCGAACACAGACTTCCTAACTCGTTCTACACGTGTCCACCCGGTGGCTGGACCATAAAGCCTTGGTCTGGCCAGGAAGGCTTGAGCCTCTCCAATGACCACGTCAGGCTTGAGCATGTGACCGCTGCTTGGTAATTAGCTGGGCTGCTAGGAATGACCAGAGCTCAGCATTCAGACGTAAGTATAAAGCAGCAGCCCCACTAATGACCTGCAGAGCTGGCCCGTTGAAAAGCCAGCCCAGAGCACGGGCAGGCGCCTCCTGGCTCCGGCCAGCACCAAACCACGGACACGGGAAACCGAAAGTCACTCCCCTCCTTGTGCAAGGGTAGACCCCCGGGATGAGCAAACAATCCTAAATGGAAACAAACCAGAAACCCTCCTATTTAATCGCTGGGGTTTAAAAACCTCGACGGGGAAAAAAAAAAAATTCTTGACGCAGCGTTCAGAAGCATGCTAGCTTTCTAAATTCATCTAACACAATCGTTGGTGAGCCCTAAACTTTCCCGGCGCACTTCTGAGCAGTGAGAGACCTCAGATTTCCATCCAGCTTCTACACGGAGTGAGTTGTGAGCGAGGTAACCCAGAAAAACCGGAGATACAGACAGAGTCACGGAGGAGGGCTTCCCAGGGGCACGTTCAGACGAGGGGAACAAAGCGTTGAGCCTCCCAGCCACGTACACACACACACACACACACACACACACGGCAGAAACGGCCTCCCAGACACACACACACACACACACACGGCAGAAACGGCATCCGGCCAAGCGCCCCTCGGACACGGGGGTGATTCTTTATTTCAACTGGCGGCAGCAACCTGCACCTTCTGTCTCCGGTCCTCCCACCTTTCTGTCCCACTGTCCCTGGGCAGGGGTGACACCTCTCAGGGTCGGCGTCCTCATCAGGAAAGTGAGGGCAACGCCTTCCTTGCCCCGGTGAGCGCTCAGTGAAATGACAGGATCCCGGGGCTCCCCCCACGGCCTCAACGCCACCGCCTTTCATGTTCTGGGGCGTCAATACTCGGCTCTCCTGCTGCAACATTCCTGGCACCTTCCTCAGAGAAAACCTGGTTCCCACCGGGCCTGTGGACTACCCCAGGCCGGCCAGCCAAGCTGCAGAGCGGCAGGGAGGCCCGGGGCGCCCCTGGGGTGGGCGGGGACGGCTCTCTCTGCATCGAAAGTTGCCATCCTGGGCACAGTCCCAGACACAGACATGCAACCTACCTGCCTCCGCTCGTCAGGGGCCTTCAGGAACAGCGCGTTGATGACTGCGATGGTGTAGGTCTGGATCTCCTGGTCGGTCCTGAGGGACACAGAACAGCGCAGAAAGTGAGAAGCAGCTCTCCCTGAGTCAGCCATGATCAAGTTCACGGCCACCTCCCCCCAAAAGGCGAGAAAGAGAAAGGCAGGACCTAGAAAACACAGTCCCCACCGAGAAGGTATTCCATCCATCACGAGGCTGGAAACTGTGTGGGGGGTGTCAGTTACTACTGCTCCCAGACAAACCACTGCCGACTGGAGATCACCCCGAAAGCACAGGTGGCCAGCTGGCTCCCTCCCTTCTCCTCGGCTAAGATTAAAAGCATGAACTCAGTGGACGAAGTGTGTGAGTGTGTGTGTGTGTGTGTAATGTCTGTCTGTTCGGTCTGCTACATGAAGTATATCTGGGAGTACACTTGGCTGTCCTCAAGTCCTGGGCTTATTATAAAGGAAACTGCTTTGTCTCCATGGCGATATTACATATTCTAAATATCTATTTCCAAAAAGAAACTTTCTTTTTTATTTTTAATTTTTTTTTTATCCTCACCTGAGGACATTTTTCCATTTTTTGTTCAGATAGAGTGGGAGGAAGAGAGAGAGAGAGAAATATCAACGTGAAAGGGACACATTGAGTGGCTGCCACCCGCACGACCAACCAGGGCCAGGAACAAAGTGCAACCGAAGTATGTGCCCTTAGCGGGAACCGAACCCGGGTCTCTCTGCCAACGCTCTAACCGCTGAGCCAAACCGGCCAGGGCCCAAAAAGAAACTTTCTTAATGAAACCAGAAATTCCAAGTAGAGCAAAGACCTACTGAAAGGCACACGGTAAATCATACACAGGAGAACCTGGGCACAAACAGAGCAGCTACGAGCCCCCCAGGGACGGTGTGAGAGGTGGACCTGAGACATGGTCTTTGCAGGAGGAAAGTCAGGGCCCAGTACCCCACAGGCTGGCTGTGCGGCCTTGGACCAGTTCCAGGGGTGACCCTGAGACACAGTTTCCGCATCTGTGACACGGGCAGGAAGACAGGCCGCTCAGAATAAAGTGAGGTCATGTACACAGAACCCTTAGCACAGCACGCAGCAAACAAGAAACTCTCCCCTTTAGGGAAGTACACTGTGTGCCCTCCGTATTCAACAAAGATACGGCTTGCAGAGATAACACATTTCACATGCAGGCAACTGTCAAAGGGCTGCTTCTAGACGGGTTTCACGCAAAATCATCATTTTAGAGCAAGTGCTAATTTTCCCTGAGGCCACAATCTATAGCTTGTGTGAATTAAAATATTACATCCCTGTCACCTTCCTCCCTCTGAATGAAGAAAGCATCAAATATATTTCTGCCCTGGCCGGTTTGGCTCAGCAGTTACAGCATCAGCTTGTCGACCAATGAGTCACGGGTTTGATTCCAGTCAAGGGCACGTACCTCGGTTGCGGTTCATCCCCGGCCCTGGTCGGGTTGTGCAGGAGGCAACCAGTCGATGTGGCTCTATCACATCGATGTTTCTCTCTCTCCCTCCCTCCCACTCTATCTGATGATAAGTAGAAAAATATCCTCAGGTGAGGAAGAAAAACAAAACAAAACAAATACATTTCGGTGGTTTGTATTATAACACGACAGCTCACATTCGGTATACTTAGAACACGGAATCTCTACCCTGCACCCCCACCCAAATGGGCACCGAGGTTTCGTCTGGAGGCCAGGGACACAGTTCCGGGGAGCCCAGTCACACTCGGCCAGCAGAAGCCATCGTTTGTGTCTTCCTTGGGTCCCCAAAGCACCCAGCATTCTTTCACTAAATCCCTGCTCTGTGTAAGCTCACACGTTCGTAGCACCTGAGACCCAGACACTGTAACTTATAAAGCAGCGCTGTGCAGCGGGGTCCTTCTCTGTCAGCGGAGACGATCTTACTAGTTACCTAAGGGTGGGGAGGAGGGGAAAGCCCTCAGGACAGAAGGCTGCTAGAGTCGTGCCTTGTAGCTCAAGCCTCTAAAAAAAATACAGACAGGATCACATACGAAAGAAGGCTACTGCAATCACCTTGAGCCCGAAGAGAGAAGCTTGCCTTTAAAAAGTCTTAACTGGCCCTGGCCCGTTTGGCTCAGTGGTTAGAGCGTTAGCCCGTGGGCTGACGAGTCCTAGGTTCAATTCCTCAGCTGCAGTTCGGTCCCCAGCCCTGGTCAGGGTCCTGGGGGAGGCAACCAATCAGCTTCTCTCTTTCTCCCTCACATTCTAGCTGAAGATAAAAGGAAAAATACCCTCTGGTAAGGATTTAAGGGGAAAAAAGAATAGGCACGGAGCTCGCCAAGGGTCAAGTGACTGCGTTTCAGTGTGACAGGGACGAGCATGTGCATGCTGATGAAACCTCACATCCAGATTCCTTCTCTGTACACTCATCAACCTGAGACAGAACGTTTCCCAGAGTGTCGTGGTGACCGAAGCATCTCCCCTCCCCGCACTGGTGGCCTCACACTTACCCTTGAAGATGTGGAATGAGTTGCCCGATGGTGATCTCCTGCGCCACCTTCTGGTAGAGATCGTGGCTGTTGAGCACCATTGACTCCAGAATGGCCAAGGACCGCTGCAGAATGGAGGTGTCCATGCCTGACTTGTTCACGAAACTTGCTATCTGAAAACCAAGCGGGACACCATTGACTGCTCGTGGCAAGCGGAGCAGAAAAGAGCAGAAGGGAGCGAGTCAAGTAAACGGGGAGCTCAATTAAGGAACCCCGGACTGGGGATAAACTACCTGCAAGAACAGAAGAGCAAGGAACGCACTGAGTCCATGATTCTTCATGACATTACCACAAAGCACTTTTATTCTGGTCTCTGTAACTCAGTAATCATCGACTTTGGAAAGGAGACGGCTTCACAGAATTATCCCGTCTGTGTTTGCCAGCATGGGTCTCGGCCTCCTGGAGCGGAGGATCTCGGTACCTACAGCCATTGCTCCGCATCCGTGGGCCGTCGGCTCCAGGACCTCCCTCCCTCAGGTAAAATGCTGGGACTTAGTCCTTTATACAGAATGGAGCGGTGCCCTGGCCGGTTTGGCTCAGTGGTAGAGCATGAGCCCACAGACCAGAGAGTCTCGGGTTTGATTCAGGTCAAGGGCACGTATCTCGGTTGCAGTTCGGTCCCTGGCCCTGGTCAGGGTTGTGGGGGAGGCAACCAGTCGATGTGTCTCTCTCACATCGCTCTCTCCCCCTCCCCCCTGCACCCCCACTCTATCTGAAAAGTATCCTCAGGTAAGGATTTTTTAAAAATGAAGTAGTATTTGCAGGTAACATATACTTACATATAAGCCACAGCAGGGCACACCTACCCACCTCTGCATTTCATTGCCTTCAGCATAGTGCCTGGTGCCTGGCAAATTCAAATTTTGCTTTTGGAATTTCTGTTTGTTTTTCCCGAATAATTTTCTTTCATTCATTCATTCATTCATTCATTCATTCATTCATTTATTTATTTATTTATTTACTTACGTACTTACGTACTTACTTACTTACTTTAGGGAGAGAGATAAAAACATCAATGTGAGAGAGATACATCTATTGGCTGCCTCCTGCACGTCCCCTACTGGGGATCGATCCCACAACCCGGGCATGTGCCTGACCAGGAATAGAACTGGGACCTCTCAGTTCATGGGACGATGCTCAATCCACTGAGCCACACTGGCCGGGCCTGAGTATTTTCTGTCTGCAGTTGGTTGAAACCATGGATGTGAAACCCGCAGAGACAGAAGGCCAGCTACACAGAGTAAAGACTCCTGTGTTTCTTTGAGAGAGTAATTCCAATATATACTAATAGCCTTTCTCTCCATTCCCAGGCTACTCCTTCACCTACGGGATCCATGAACTTTATGTTCTTATTATGATCCTGTTACATTCTTTAGGGATTCACGCAAATCACACTTGTCAACACAATTCAACTGGCAACTTCTTAGTCACTGGCTACTTGCCTGTGATCCTCCGTGGAACACTTTTCCCCCTCTCTTTCGTTTTATAATATAAAATGTATATGGTTGAAATAAATTCTTCTCATCTCTCCAAAATTTAGCAAGCAGGAAAATCTTTGAATTAGCAGTGCAAAAAGCTAAAATAATAGTTCAAGCTCTGAAATGCATTCCCTAAGGAATTAATCACTGAGGCCTCAAACATAATAAATCACAACGTAAGAGAGAAGCAAAATGCGGGTCAGAATAACGGGCCACAGCAACCCAAACACTAGGGCACCATAAAGCTTTTATTTGAGAGGCCTCATTAAAACTTATTACTGTCTGCTGACAACTCACACTAAAGGGCTGTTATTATATCAACATAATGACTGCTTTCTTAGCAGCTAAATAATTAGGTTCCATGACCAATTGACACTCGCTGCTTCCCTCTGTCGACACTAATTTCTCCCTTACGCCATCCCATCGACCACTTCTCCTCCTCCCCTCTTCATCCCTGCACAAGATAAAAGGCCAAGGCATCCATGGCAACTGGCTGTTACCATCTCAACTGTTTCTAGCCCAACGACTCCCTGTGGAAAGTAGGAGTAAAGGTACAGACACCAACCCTCTCTCTTCCCCCCAGACACATCTGGTTCTCAGAGGGTGGAAAATAAATGACAAAGTATAGTAACATTATGCTTTTACACTCCAAGCGCTGTTATTTTACAGTAAAAACTACAGGCAGAGAATGAGAATTTTAAGATGCTCCAAAGAATTCCACTAGCCCATCGTCCAACTGGTTCAGCCCATTTCATGGCTAATAAACTTCTCCAACGTGTTTACTGGCTCTGGAAAGCCCTCGCCTTAAGCCTCCCAGTCTGCCCCGTCTGACCAAATCTGCCGTGCCAAGACCGCCTTTCCATTCTAAGGCCATTTTCTCTGACAAAAGTCCAGTTCCTCTCATACTGTGCTCATGGTGTAACACTTAACTTAGAACTCTTCTAAAGAGGAGAGACATCACTTCCCCATCAACACCACCCCAATCATTTCTCATCACGCCAGCACAATCCTCGGGCACCTGCTAGAAAACCGAAGACCTCCCAGAGAAGTTCGTTGACCACACTTCTCATTTTCTCTGCACTGATTCTCTCCTCTCACCAACTCTCCTCGTCTCGTCTCCACCTGCTGCAGCTGCACGTATCGTTAAGGCTCCTTGGAGTTTCCCACCTGTGAGCTTACCGTCAGACTCCCTCCCCACCCACCACCTTCATCGGCTCATTCACTCACTCAGGTCACAGGCATTCACTGTGCGCCGTCGAGCAGGCTGGTACCGTCCTGACACCTGAACACAGACAGGTGAGCAAACCACCCTGAACTTCGAGGATCTGACCGTCTAACACAGACGGATGGATGAAAAGGCATCTACTGTGAAGTATGTTAAGTGCTTGTGCTTATTCCCGGGATGCAAAAGACGGCCTCCAGTTAGATAGTCCAACAAAGACCAGAAGTGAGTGGGACGGAATCCAGTCTCAAGGTGGTCTTCGCCGTCCCGTCTCAGTGAGCACTGTTCCCCGGGTTCGCCGCGTCCCTCGTGAGTAACAGTCTCGGCTCCCTAGTTTCTGGCCTGAGAACACGTCGGCCACGTGTCCGCGCGGATGCCCGCAGGGTTTACACGCACAACACCGGCCCCTGGTCCAACTCGCTCCAGGTCACCAGGACAGACTCTCTTGTTTGCTGTATGCTCCAGATGTCCCTCTGACACACATTCACCCTCTACGTCCACAAACCTCCTTCTGACAGTATCTCCTGGAAATATTCAATCAGAAGTCGGATTTTCTTTCTTAGATGACGTACACCTTCTTCTAATGGGTTTTATTTTATAACCAGTTCTCAGCCCTCACCTGCCCCCAGCGGCTTGCTGACCGGTGATAAAATAGCTTGTGGCCTTGGCTCCGAGTCAGGCATTTTATATTCCGATTCCATCTGCCATTTCAGGAACGACTGACACTCAGCCCTTCTCTTCAACAAACTTCTTTGAAACTAACCTCTTCCTTTTCTCCGCCTCTTCTTTGACCTGGGGGACCCTCATCTCAGTAAGTCTCCTGCAGGTTCCAAAAGCAGCACTTTGCGCCTCTCACTGGGCTGGGTCCTGCCCGGCCGAGGGCAGGCTCACACCGCTCGGTCCTGCACATTTCTCCAGGAGGCGCCAGTGATCTTGGGAAACTCACTTCTATCTTTTGCCTTTTCTTTGTGAGTGGTTTTAACCAGACATTGAAATGACCTAATATTTTTCATCTAATGAGTATGAATAACAAAAGCATCACGGCTCATTTAAGCAAATATAATGACTACAGACAGGCTCCATATTAGTGCACGTACAGATGCATCAGTAGACAGATGTGATTCTACGTCTAGTTTAAAAGCTACAGATCTTAGTAGAGCTATAAATGGTAAAGACTACCTGGTCAAATTTTATTTTCTTTTGTCCCTCCCAAAATCAATAATGACTCCTTTGCCTTTACATTTTTCTTTTAGTTGTTTGTGGGTGTTTTTTTTGTTGTTTTTTTGTTTTGGTTTTCAAGTCTGTACATATTTTGTCTTTTTTTTTCTTTCAGGATATATTTATAAACATAAATATAAACCATACTTAGAAAAATTCTAAATTTAGCCAAATCCATCCTTCGAAGCCCCGTTACTGCACTTTCGGCCGACAGGTGACGAAGCCGAACTCAGCCAAAGGACAGCTTCTTGGAAGCCGGTCTGCAGCACGAGGACGCAAGGTCCGAGCGGTCAGCAGGCCTCAGGCGCTGCTTCCACGTGCTTCTGCTCACTTAAACGTGCTACCTAAGCTCGGCTGAGGGACATCCAGGTGACATGCTACCTAAGCTCGGCCGAGGGACGTCCGGGTGACATGCTACCTAAGCTCGGCCGAGGGACGTCCGGGTGACATGCTACCTAAGCTCGGCCGAGGGACGTCCGGGTGACATGCTACCTAAGCTCGGCCGAGGGACGTCCGGGTGACGTGCTACCTAAGCTCGGCTGAGGGACATCCAGGTGACATGCTACCTAAGCACGGCCGAGGGACGTCCAGGTGACATGCTACCTAAGCACGGCCAAGGGACATTGGGTGACATGCTACCTAAGCTCGGCCGAGGGACATCCGGGTGACATGCTACCTAAGCACGGCCGAGGGACATTGGGTGACATGCTACCTAAGCTCGGTGGAGGGACATCCGGGTGACGTGCTACCTAAGCACGGCCGAGGGACATTGGGTGACATGCTACCTAAGCTCAGCCGAGGGACATCCGGGTGACTTTTAGGAAGCTAAGGGCCATCACAGTGCATGAATCAATGGCACAAACTATTAAAATCACATAAACCCTTCTCGGGATCACTGAGGCTGAGCTTAAATTCGTCTCTGTTACCAAAAGCGAAAGGGGCCGTGGTGAGCCTGGAGCGCCACCCCATAGTTTACAGCATCCAGGCAGACGTGTATAAACCTCCCGAGTTCTTAGGGGCCAATGTTACTGGGTGCGCCACCCGGCGTGGCTGGGTGCTCGTCCTGAGAGCAGCTGGGTGACCAGGCCTCCCGCAGGGCTCGGGGCCCGGCGTGTGCTCGAATCTCTCCTGCCAAGAAGAGGCCCTGGTGTTATCCTTGGCCAGGAGGGAAGCAACTCGGAGCTCAGAGAAGTTCTGGGGGTTTTGTTGTTTTTTTCTTTTTTTTAATTCTTTTTTCCCCTCCATATTTTCCTAACCTCTTCCTAAGTAACCAGGAATTTTTTTTTTTAAAGTAACACCCTGGCCGGTTTGGCTCAGTGGTTGGAGCATTGGCCTGCGGTCCAGAGAGACCAGGGTTTGGTTCCCGCTAAGGGCACGTACCTCGGTTGCAGTTTGTCCCCGGCCCTTGTGGGGTTGTGCGGGTGGCAGCCACTTGATGTGTCCCTTTCACATCGATGTTTCTCTCTCTCTCTCTCTCTCTCTCTCTCTCTCTCTCTCGCTCTCTCTCTCTCTCTTCCTCCCACTCTATCCGAACAAAAAATGGATAAAATGTCCTCGGGTGAGGATTTAAAAAAACAAAAACGTAACAGTAGCCAGGGTGTGGCTCAGCAGACAGAGCGTCGTCCCAGGGACTGAGAGGTCTGGGTTCTATTCCCAGTCAGGGCACCTGCCCAGATTGCAGGCTCGATCACCAGTAGGGGGCGTGCAGGAGGCAGTCGATTGATGTTTCTCACATCAATGTTTCTCTCTCCCTTCCTCTCTCTCTAAAAAAATCAATAAAAACATATTGAAAAAAAAAAAAAAAGTAACAACATTAGCCCTAGCTGGGGTGGTTCAGTGGTTAGAGTGTCGGCCCACTCACCAAAGCCAAAGAATCACAGGTTTGATTCCCAGCAAAAGGCATATACCTTGGTTGCAGGTTTGATACCTGGCCCTGGTATGGGAGGCAACCAATCGATGTGTCTCTCTCACATCAATGATTCTCTGTCTCTCTCTCCTCTCTCTCTTTCCCTCTCCCCTGTCCCTTCCACTCTCTCTAAAAATCAATGAAAAAATATATCCTCCGGTGAGGGTTAACAATAACAAAAAAGTAACAACATTATATACTGGCATAAAGAAATTCCAGGTTTCAAAGTGTTTATGAAATGCTGTTATTTATGCTATTTATTGCAAACCAAGTTTGCAACTAGAATCTAAGTCTACACATAACCAAAGATGAAGTAGTAGAGAAGAAGACAGGGGCTGGGGGGTGGGGGTGGTAAAACCCCTTCTCCAAAGTGGTATGAATTTGGCATTTATAGGAAGCCAAGTTTGTGTCACAGAGATAAGCATCTTTTTGTCAGCAGATTTTTGTCCAGATAAAGCTCCATTTAAAAGACATTTGTCTGCACACAATTCCTGGGTTGTCAGAGTGCTGAAGTTGATCCAGCTAATATATAAAAAACATTAACCTTACAAAAACTATCAATTATAAAGTCATTTTCTGATGACTATTTTTCAAATTCAATGAAGCGTTGACAGCTAAGTAGCAAGGCAAAGGAAATAGAATAATTGGGACTAAGGACATGGAATGTGTTCAATGTAATGCCTTCTGAAAAAATATTTCATTTTTTACTTAAACTCTCAAGATTGCTAGTCTTTGTGTCCTTAGTCTTCAAATGACTCTTCATTTAATTTTAGTGAATGGCAACCATTTTCCTAAGCAATTAGAAAATTAAATCATTGTCATTCTTTCTAAGCACTTCTCACAGCATTTAACAAGAGACAGCTTTGTCATTTCTTTCCACTCATAACTGAAATTTTACTTGACGTCTATTTAAATACGATGCATTATTTTCCTTCCCTCCTTCAAGTTCCACGGTTTTAAAAATGCTCCTGAAGCAAATCGCATCCATTCACTGCACAGACATGCACGAAGGTCTGTGCCAGGCTCTGAGGATAAAGTCAGGAAGAGAGCTGTGGTTCCACCTTCCTAGGACTCATGTCTGGGGAGCCAGACGAAGGGACCCAAAGTGCACAGAAATGTGACAGGTGCTGGAACGGGGCGGCCACATGATCAGAGGGGAGCAGGGAGGAGGAGTCACTTATCTCTACACCGGTGAGGTCAGGAAGGACTGGACAAGGGGCAAGTCGGGGGACAAGTCCTCAGAAGCTATTCTTCCCCCCATGAAAAGCAAGACCAAGTGCATGACCAATGGAGGGGAGGGGGCAGACGCCCCGAGCCATGACCGCTGTGCCCTGGACCCCTGACCAGAACAACAAGACTCTCCGTGGTTCTGGAAGGACTCCTGCTGGGATCTTAAGAAATAACGTGGTCTGTGAACCACAAGTTCGTGTCAGGAGGGCACCTCCAGAAGAGCACCCAGTGTGAGAAAGAAGGTGACAGGCGACTCAGCTGCAGGACAGAAGGCCCACCGTCCATTCAGACCAGTTAAGATTTTTCTTAAGTATCAACAGCCGCAAAACCCAGTACCTTCCGACTGCACTTGCTCGTTCAGAACTTTTACCTGAGGGAGAACACAGTGACCTGCTCTCTGCGTTCACCACCTGCTGCCCACGGCCCGGCCCCTCCACCTGCTGCCCTCGGCCCGGCCCCTCCACCTGCTGCCCACGGCCCGGCCTCTGCACCTGCTGCCCACGGCCCGGCCCCTCCACCTGCTGCCCTCGGCCCAACCCCTCCACCTGCTGCCCTCGGCCCGGCCCCTGCACCTGCTGCCCACGGCCCAACCCCTCCACCTCCTGCCCTCGGCCCAACCCCTCCACCTGCTGCCCACTGCCCGGCCCCTCCACCTGCTGCCCTCGGCCCAACCCCTCCACCTGCTGCCCACGGCCCGGCCCCTGCACCTGCTGCCCTCGGCCCGGCCCCTCCACAGGAGTTCCTGCATGACGCTCAGAATTCCCTGGCTTCCTCTCTCTCTTTTTTTCTCTCTTTTTCTTTCTTTCTTTCTTTCTTTCTTTCTTTCTTTCTTTCTTTCTTTCTTTTTCTTTGTTTCTCTCTCTCTCTCTCTTTCCTGTCTCTCTTTCTTTCTTTCTTTTTTAGCAATTTTGATAAGTAAATGCAAAAAAACAGCCTCCTTTTTTCCTGGCTGTTTCCTAAGTTGCTCCCATTCTAAGTGGTTGGTCATCTTTGGCACGACGGCTTTCTGTGAGGAAGAGGACGTGAGGCCTGTGGAGAGGACCCTGGGTTCCCCACCAGCTCTCGTCTGAAATACACACGCCACATCGTGCAGGGCCAACCTGCCGGCCCCCATCCCCACCCTCATTCACAGGCGAGGACTCTGGTGTGCCCTTGAACTCAAGGCAGTGCCCCCTCGAGACACTGATTCACTTCAGAAGGAGGAGGAGTCACTTCACCGTGGGCAGACTCAGCGGATGCCACCTCAACCCGGAGACCAAGGTCAACGTCGCCGTAATAAAGACACGTGGACAGCAGGCGCCCTCTGTGACACGCTGAGAAGGTCCCCGTGTCCCTGCTCTGGTATTCCTGCCACGGACTCACACCCTTACATTGACCACGAGGGAAGTATCAGAGAAACCCGAGCTCAGGGGCGTTCTACATTATAACTGACCAGGACCACCCAGGATGATCCAAGTAGGAGAGAGAGTATCAGGGAAACCCAAGCTCAGGGGGTCCTACATTATAACTGACCAGGACCACCCAGGATGGTCCAAGTAGGAGAGAGAGTATCAGGGAAACCCAAGCTCAGGGGGTCCTACATTATAACTGACCAGGACCACCCAGGATGATCCAAGTCACAAAAGATAAGGACAAGCCGAGGACCTCTCAGACGGGAAGATGCCCAGGAGACAGGACAGCTAAGTGTCGCGAAGAATGCTGGCCGGGTCCTGAGTCAGAGAAAGGACGTTAGCAGACGCACTGGGGAAATCAGGTAGTGGTGCTAGTACTGAACCGCTGTTCATTTCTTAGTTCTGATCACTGTACTTTCATGACGTAAAACGTTAACACTGGGGGGCAGACGCTGGAGGAGAGGCCTGTGGGAGCATTCTGTATTTCTTATTTATTGATTTGCAACTTTTCTGTAAAGTCTGCCATGATTTCGAAATAAGAGGCTTAAACAATTCCAGGGAAACTTTACTGGGTTTTGCTTTGATTTTCTTGCTTTTGCAGAGTCTCCGAAATTCTTTATTTCAGAAAACCCTCCCCAGGAACCTACACTCGGAAAATAAGTTCGTGAATTCCTAACATCTCTTCATTCCCAACACAACAGCAGGAAGAAAACTGCCCTCCTGTTTAGAAACCTTTTCTCAAACACAGAGAGAGGAAAAAGAAGTTAACGAATTACTAAGAGTAATCCAGGATTTGAGGGTTATAAAGGCAGGGTTATTTATTTCTGTGGGAAGACTGGAAACAGAGTCTAGGTCTGCAGATCTGCCTTTATTACTGCTCAGCGGCAGGGAACGGGGGGTGCTGCCCCACTCCCCACACCTCCTCCAGAGCGGGGACCAATGGATCGAACTGATCACAGACACTGATCGCACCACGGTTCCGAGGGAGCAGACTTCCTCTGCCGGAGAGGCACACCCCTTCCCTAGCGCCCTGGCCTCCTCCCTGCTCCCGAACACGGGCTGAAGGGAGACGTTTCGGGAAGGCCACCAGAAACTCGACGTGGGTCCTGAGGACAACAGTCTGCAAAGCACTCAGCAAACACGTCCGTGGCTTTAACAACCTGGCACCTCGATTGTTCTTGACACGGGTTTTTCTGTGCCATCCCTTCAAATCTCGGTGGGGAGGAAATGCCATTTCCACATATAATTTATGTGCCCTGACCCCTATATACAATACTATCAAAATCCCCAACCACCTTTCAACTAAAACTGAAGGACACACTGACTAGACCTCCTCAAAGCAGAGAAGGAAGGAAGGAAGGAAGGAAGGAAGGAAGGAAGGAAGGAAGGAAGGAAGGAATGAATCTAGGAAGGAAGGAAGGAAGGAATCTAGGAAGGAAGGAAGGAAGGAATCTAGGAAGGAAGGAAGGAAGGAAGGAAGGAAGGAAGGAAGGAAGGAAGGAAGGAAGGAAGGAAGGAATCTAGGAAGGAAGGAATCTAGGAAGGAAGGAAGGAATCTAGGAAGGAAGGAAGGAAGGAAGGAAGGAAGGAAGGAAGGAAGGAAGGAAGGAAGGAAGGGAGGAAGGAATCCAAGCCCAGGGAAGCACGGTCTGCATTACCTTCTTAATGAACGCCACTGAAAACGTATCCCAGGACACGATGCCGTGGTCCATCAGCTCAACGAAGGCCGTCAGGGTGAAGGACAGCATGTCTCCAAAGCTGGAAAACACAGGGAGGCACAATGGTCATGGGCCAGGAGCTGAACACACAGAGACACAGAAGTGACAAGGCCTTAGAAAACTGAATACAGCCCTGGCCGGTGAGCTCCGTGGTTAGAGCATCGGCCCGCGGACCAGAATCACGGGTTTGATTTGGTCAAGGGCATGTACCTCGGTTGCGATTTGATCCCCATCCCTGGTTGGGTTGTGTGGGAGACAACCGATCGATGTGACTCTCACATCCATGTTTCTCTCTCCCTCTCTCCCTCACACTCTATCTGAAAATCAGTGAAAAAATATCCTCGGGTGAAGACTAAAAAAAAAAAAAAAAAAGAAAACCGAATAGAAGCAGAAGTGGACTAGAGCGTGGGATCAGCCTCGGGGCCGCAGACGAACGCCGAGCAGACCTGCGTCAGAGGAGGGGAGGGAGTGGCCCAGAGTCCACGAGACGCGTCCTCTCCCAGCTCACCGAGGTGTGCACGTCGGGATTTCCACACTGCGTGCAACTGCACTGATTCTTACGCTTGATTTAAAACTTTTTTTTTCTTTATTGATTTTAGAGACAGAGGAAGGGAGAGAGACAGAAACACTGATGAGAGAGAACATTGATTGGCCGCCTCCTGCATGCCCCCCACTGGGGATCGGGCCCACCACCTGGGCCTGTGTCCTGACCGGGAACTGAACTGGCGACCTCTTGGTGCCTGGATTAACACTCAGCCACTGAGCCACACCAGCTGGGCTATGCTTGATTTTTTTTTAAAAATAAAATAAAGTTGCTTGTTTGGATTTTCAATCTGTAGACGCATATGTACCACAACTGCTACACTACAGGGTCTCATAAAGTGTTTAGACCGACTCTTCCCATCGATGTTCAATTAAACAAATAGAAAGCAGGCGCATACGTCTTTTAAGACAGCTTCACAATTTCCCTTCTTCTTCATGTTCTCAGCCAGCCTCAGTAATGACCTTGGAAACCCTGCACCACCCAGAAGCGATGATGCTGAAAAGAAACCTGGAGAGAGGAAGCCGCTCTCAGGAAAGGGCTGGGACCTGGACCCAAAGCTGAGCCTGTGGTGTAGCAGGCAGAAAGCAGCATGTGGCTGTCAGCTACAACCATTATGCAAATGCAATGTTTTAAAAGGTAAACGAAGCCCACGATTTTCAAAGTGTTTCCCTTTGTTGTGTCAAGAATTATCTGTCTTTGGAGCCAGAAAAATAAAAGTGCAAGAAAAGCCAAACCATTCATGCCAGAGAGAAAAGCAACAACTGCTTTTTAAAAAGGACTGACAAACCTCAGAGGGGAGGGGGAGGGGAGAGATAAACCAAAGAACTTAAGGTGCATTGGCCTGACCAATGGGCACAGACAACAAGGGTGAAGGGGCCTGAGCGGGAGGAGGATGTCAATGGGGGAGAAAGGAGGAACATCTGTAATATTTTCAACAACAAAGATACATGTAAAATAAATATAAAATAAGTAAATAAAAAGGCTTTTTTCCTGAGTCGCAGATGGGCAATCCCAATCTTACAGGTGCCCCTAGGTGGCATCAGAGGGCTGTGCCCCAGAAAACAAACTTACGGAAAGAACAAAAAAGTAGAAATATGGGAGAAAAATGGGTTGAAAAGAGTAGCAAGAAAGGTTAAATAAAAATTCGAGAATAAATCTTTCTATAAACAATGAGTCAAGAAAATCCAAACAGCAGACTAGAAAAAAAGAAAAGAAAAGAAGAAAGCCAGGCAATAAAGCAATCAGTAAGATTTACTAATAGGCTGTGCAGGCCTTAGTATTACTGTGGATACATTATTATAAAATAATATATAGTATTTATATAGTAAAACTATTAGCCAATTTATATTTTATTATAATGTTAGTAGTAAACAATATTGGCTAAATGTTTTAACTTAAAAAAAAGGGAAAACAGCAACCACATTCCTAAAAATGCTGCTTGCTCCCATCTGGTTTGCTGAAAGACCTCAACTGCTCGAAGTTTCCCGCGTACCACGCCCCAGGACGGCCTCAATGTCACCGCCAACAGAACAAGCAAGGCAAAGGAATAGACACACTCTGGGCATCGAACTCTTCTTTGCACCCCCTGTAGCTGGCTGAGGCTGGGAATGGAGATGGTATTAGACTCTGCCAACTGCTTTGGAACAAAGGATAGACAATATTAATGTTCCCTAATGATCTGAAGGCACGGTGACTCTGTGCCCTGCTCAATGAACCCATAATCCATGTGGCTGTAGCAACATGTGGGGTCGGCCCCTTGTCCTCAAATGCTCCAGAACTCTGCCTCCAGACTCCTCCCGCGAGGGCCTCGGGGAGAGATGGGGAGAGGGACAGGGTACCGTTCGGTTTCCAAATGCTTGGGGCTGGGATTTCAGTCTCCACGGCGGCTAGGGAGGTGGAGCACCGTTTCTGAGACGGCAGACAGGACTTTCTGTGTTAATTATCCCTTAGTGAGAATGACTGACAAGGGAGAGAAAAGCCCCTCACCTCATATCCCCAAGTGCCCAAAGCAAGGACTGCTTTCTTGGGCCATCCAGTAACATTTTATAGCAATGTGATATAAATTATGTTCATATTTTATGTAAATAGTCTCCAGTAACATTATTTATAGATTTAGATACTTATTTAAATATATAATACATGTTACATAATATATAAAAATGTTTAGACATATGTTATGATATATAAATGTTATTAGATATGTGTCTATATATGTCGTAGTGCGTAATATATTATTGAGTATACACATTGCATATATAATATGCATGTTATACAATATACGATACATGGTATGTACATAACACACATAACTCATTATGGCTGCTGGTTGCTGTGTGGCAGACGAGGTGGGTTTCCAGGAAGAACTTTTACAAAACTCAACCTCAAACCCTCAGGAGCAAGGAAAGGCTGGCCAGGGAGAGCGTTATTACATCCCAAGTCAGTGGGCACAGTGACCTCCTTTCCCATGAGGCAGCCACAGAGCCCTGGTCAAACAGAGGGGCGTCTGCGGCCACCTGTGGAGGACAGATCCGGGCTCCACAGAGGAGGGGCAGGAGCCGGGCCTCATCTCCGGGACCAGAGCCGGAGCGCAGATCCAGCCTCGAGAACCACAAACACGGAGCAGCTGCACAGCACACGAGGGAGCGTTTCTGTTTGGTTTGTTTATTTTGCAGCAAGTGCTAAGCTAGAGACTGCAGCGCCGACGGCCACCAATCACGCCGAGCGCAGGCTGGGTCTGCGGCCGGGAGCCACGGAGGCAGCAGCGCGCATGTGCGCGGGGACCCTCCAGATGCATGTGTCTCATCCGCTCAGTGGAGACCATTCATCCAACAGACGTCGGCCAGCCGCACAGCCTTTACATTTATGCTGCTAAGTGTATGAAGGAACAGCGCTTCCCAATGTTCCCTGGGTGCAAGATGAGTGGACGGACGGTGAAGCTAGAGGGCAGTTTTATTTTATTTTATTTTTTTTTATCCTCACCCGAGGACATTTTTCCATTTTTTGTTCAGATAGAGCGGGAGGGAGAGAGAGGAAGAGAGAGAGAGAAACATCGATGTGAAGGGACACATCGAGTGGCTGCCACCCGCACAACCGACCAGGGCCGGGGACAAACTGCAACTGAGGTACGTGCCCTTAGCGGGAACCGAACCCGGGTCTCTCTGTACCGCAGGCCGACGCTCCAACCGCTGAGCCAAACCGGCCAGGGCTAGAGGGCAGTTTTAAAGCTACCAAGTCACCCTGAACATATCCATAACTGCCAGCATTAATGAACACAGTTCTGCCTGGCCCTCCGAGTTTTTGCCACCTTCCTGAAGAACGTCGTTTACTTCGATGTCACTTCCTTATGTCGTTGATGAGATGCTGTAGGCACTTAAATCTTGCTGATATCCATTAGCCTGTGGTAAAGTTGGTTTCCTTCTGCAACATTTTGCTGTGGTTCCAAGAACCTATAGACGACGTTGAGGACTCGCAGTTTCTTTTGTTTGTGGTAAAATGTATATATAATGAAATGTACGGACTTCTACGTCCCCCGTTAGACACTGCCGGGACCTTCAGAATCCTGGCATCCTTCATGTCAGCCATCAGTCTTTTGGCTCTTTTGTTAAGATTGCAACTGTGGATCAATTCTGGACTATTTATTCCATTGAACAAGTCTATTCCCTTATAACAATGTCATACTGTCTCACTAACTTTATAGTAGTAAGTCTTGAACTCAGTTAATGAAATCCTTTGACTTGGTTAACCTTTGTTATTGTTTTTTTTGTGATTTTTTTTTTCCCCAACTGTTTCAGCTATTCTAGGTCCCATGCACTTCTTCTAAGTTTTAAGATAGGTTTATAATTTCTGTTTTAAAAAATTGTGTTTCTGCCCGGGCCAGTTTCTCAGTGGTTAGAGCATCGGCCCACAGACTAATGAGTCAGTTCCAGTCAAGGGCATGTACCTTGGTTGCTGTTCGTTCCTGGCCCTGGTCAGGGTCGTGCAGAAGCAACCAGTTAATGTGCTCCTCTCACATCGATGTTTCCCTCTTTCTCTCTCCCTCCCACACTATCTGAAGATAAATGGAAAAATATCCTCGGGTGAGGAATAAAAAAAATTGTGTTTTGTTGAACTTACAGACTAATTTAGGGAGAACTGCTCTCCTAACAATGCTGTGTCTTCCAAACCACGAATGGTACATTCCCCACTTCTCTTGGTCTTCCTTGATTTCCTTCAGCAATATAATTATTTCTCAGTGAACAGACCGTGCCTGTCTCTTGTTAAATCTATTCCTAAGAATTTTATGATTTTTAATACTCTGTAAAGGAAGTTTTGACATTTCATTTTCAAGTTGTTTGATGTTAGTGTATAAAAATACATCACTTTTTTATATTGATGGTCTATCCAGAAATCTTGCTAAATTCAATGATGAGATCTAGCAATGTCTTTGTAGATTTCTTAGGATTTTCTTTTTACATAAACAATCACACCTATAAATAGAGTTGATTTTACTTCTTTCTTGCTGATCATTAGGTCTTTTATTTCTTTCTTGGCTTATTGCTATGGCTAAAAACGCCAAGACACTGTTGAACAGGAGTGCAACACACATTTGCCTTCTTCCCAATCTTTAGATGGAGGAAATTCAGTCTTCCCCCTTTAAGAATAATGCATCTTTTTGTTGATCACTTCTTTCAGGCTGAGGAAGTTCCCTCTAAGATCGCTGAGAATTTTTATGAATGAATGTTGGATTTTATGAAATGTTTTTTCTGTATCTATGATCTATTTTTTATCTATTAAGATTATTTTTTTCTCCTTTCACTAAAAGCTGAATCCCACACAAGGGCTAACTTCCCAACATTAAACCATTCCTGGGATAAACCTTGACTGGCTACAAAGCATTATCCTTTCCACATGTTGCTTGTTTATATGTATTACTATGTTGCACCTCTGTTCATTTGATGATCTATAATTTTCATTTCCTGTATAGTCTTTTTCAGGTTTTGCTGTCAGGGTGATAACAGCCTCATAACTTAGTCTGATTAAGCTACTCTGCCATTTCAAGAACCCGGGCCCTGAACATTGATTCTGCCAATGACTGATAAACAAAAGTTATGGTTCACATGTAGTCACACTTTCCAACATCTCTACATACCCAAAGAAAAGGTTGGCAGATAAATTTTAAGACATCATTTTGGCTTCAGAGCCCCAGATTCCTCTACGTTAGCAAGTTGTATGAGGCTGATAGAGAAAAACTCAGGCTGCATCCCCTCCCTAACACTGGATTTTAATTCCTGCATTCAGGAAGCGGTGCTCACTTTACTAGTCGTGTGTGCTGGTCGCAAGCGTGAGTTAGAGCGATGAGTGTACGCAGGTGCCTGGGACAGAATGGACCCTCATGAAGGCTGGCTTCTACGGTCAGGGCCACTAAGTGCTTCCACTATATTGCAAATATGTATCGGAATAAGATTTAAGAGGCTTCATCCTAAAAACTCAAGACCGCATTCTATGCTTCATCACAATCTGAGGACCGCGAGTTCTGTGCGGAGGGCGGAAGGTGAGTGAGACTTTCCCACCTTGACGGTGGTCGAGATTGCCCCTCAGGGCTTAAAAACGAAGGTGCCCATTATCGGGCGCTGTTCAGTCTTCCTTCTCAAACTGAAATGATGTGCAAAACGGAAATGTGTTCAGCCCGCCATAGTCTGCTAGACCCTCTTCGGACTCATCTTGTTCAGTGGATAGGACAGGCACCAAGGGGTAGCCCCGAGACCGAAGTCCGGAGGGCCGCGGACACAATCACCCTAAGATACACTCAGAGACAGGTGTTCAGCCTCAGACTCAGAGTAAGTACTTTTCTCTCCATACTCAATCCTGAGCGTTGTTTTTACCAAGCCACTGAAGAAAATCAAAGGCTTTTGGCTTTGAACATCACATAGGCCACAAAAAAGAAAGTTTTCGTTTAATGCAGAACATAAAATGATGCCTAGCCTTGCTCCCAGAGAAGGGCAGCACGCCCGATGTGCTCATTTTGTGGTTGCAAACATAAAATTCCTTTCTGTCTTTGCAGCAGAAAGAAAGGGGAAATAAATTTTTAAAGAACCTGTGTATAAGAACATCAAACAGCAAAAAAAAAAAAAAAAAAAAAATCACTAACTCAAAATACCTATGTGCCCAGTTAGCAGAGGACAGAGACTAAAGGTGCAGGAAGAGCGTTATCCAGTCTGTATCAAGTGAGTCTAAATTCTTACCATGGCTTCATGATCTTCTGCAGCTTCTGGTATCGTCTGCAAAAGTTAAGAACAATCATGTGAGGAGCACATCTGTCAGCACCAATTTTTAACACGAGCTGCATAGCTTAAACAGTGCTCAAGATTAGATATAAAAAGGATTTCACCACCACAAAGAAACCTTTATTCTCCCAAAACATTATTCAAAGTCATATACTGGTATTCTCTAATGATAAGAAATAATCTAAAGACAAGAATTAAACTACGGTGACGAACCTATTGCATGTATTTATGAGTACGGATAACAAGACCGCTCCATTTGACTCAGAACCGATATATGTTCAAGGTGGAAAATAGGGTGCATTGTCAATGAAAAAGATGAAGCCTAAAAGTTGTTCTTAAGTATATTCTCCACAATGAAGCCGCGGTTGATTATCTTTCTTGGGTAAAATGCCTACTGATTTTACTTTTCTTGAGAGAAAAAAAAAAGCTGAAGGATGACATCCTGCGATATTGCAATGGTCTTGGACAACAGATGCACTCTGGGATGGGAGCCTGCAAGAAGGGTGTGCAACAGACGAGTCCCGTCTGCCAGAAGGGACGGCCGTGCTTCTTCAAATACTGGGCTCAGGAAGATAAGGAGGCAAGTGATTCTGACCTTATCAAACCACTCGCATTCCCCCAGCCTGCCAAGTCTTCCCGACATTAAGTATGTTCTTCCCTCTGTGCTGAATTCCCTACCCCTCCTCGTCCAACTGGGTAACCTACCCCAACCTGCCCTGATTCTAAGATCCTCTGGGACGCCTCCCCGACCTCTGATTTCCCTTCTTTGACCAGACTGAGCCCACCTATGTCTGCGTGTGCGGAGGACACATCCTCTGTAGGACTCAGGACTCCTGTGCCTCCTCGAGCTCCTTGAGGACAGGGCTTCTGCCCTGGGACTTGCCACTGTCCGTCAGGTGCATGCAGGGTGGGTCTCAACAAATGGCTGACGGATCACTGGGCTCTTCAGAAGTTAAGTTTCACGTTTGCAGCCAAATAACATGTTACCACTTCAGAAACCTAACTGAACTCCAGACGATTAGATCTATTCTTTAGTAAAATGGGGTGGGAATGGGGGGGGGGGTGTTAAAAATATACATAAAGAGATCTTTCTTTTCTTCCTCTCCTCCTTTACCTCTCCTTCCTGGGGGGGGGGGGGTTCCTTCCCTCCCTCCTTCCTTCTTCAAACAGCTCTGTTCAGGGTGAAAGGAGTAGGTGGCCACAGGGGGGCAGGCCTGAGCACAGGGGGCCCCTGGGGGGGGGGTGACCACTGTCTCCCACTGAAAGGAACTGGGCTCCCCTGGAGAACAGGTGCCTGCCAGAGCGGGACAAGGGAAGGTTTGGGTGAGCCTGGAACACCTCGTTGAGGCAGAGCAAAGACACGCTCCCCGCTCAGAAGGACACGGAGACAGCTTGAAGAAATTCCCTCAGCCAAATCTGGGCCAAACTGGGCATGAAAATAAATAATAACAGTGATAGAGTCCAGCCCAGTGACTAAAACAGGAGCAAATAAGTAAGCCCACGTTGTTTTATAGGGAGGGGTGCTGGTATTGTTAAAGAACCAAGTCTCGGGGGGGGGGGGAGTTGGGGGCATACAAACCTCATTTCTACCGTTTTCCATTCTCCCTGGTGCAACTATTTCAGAGTTACTCATCACAGAGGGCGGGGGCATCACAGTGGAGACTCCTGGGAGGCACTGACTTAGGTGGTCAAAGTGAACACCAGGAATAAGATGGAGAGACAGCCTGTGCCACCAATAGGATGTAATTAAAAAGAAAAACAAAACACACAACCATCTAGGATTATCCCGAAGACATATATGGGTCTAAACTTCTGATAAACAGCAGGAAAAAATGTGTTTCAATGGGAATTTATACAGCATACGCTGCTGGATTATCAGGTGCCAGCCTCACTGTCGAGCTGACGCATGTGTATATTTTGTCCTGTCTGTTAGTAATTTAATTGATTTCCTCCCTGCTGGTGAAAAACCAGTTTTGTCTTCATTTGCAATTCATTTCGACATTCCTGTGCTTCAAATAAATCTGAGCACTTGAATTTTTCCTTTGAAATGGTTAAAACATTTTGCCTGGTTCTCTCATTTCACATGAGTGAAATGAATTCTTTTAACATGGGTTCATTTCTATATGAGACATGCTTTTATCTTTCCCTGAAAACTACCTGTAATGAATTACCTTTTACCAAATCCAAATTGGAGGATATTCTACAAAATGGCTGACCTATATATGTTTTTTCAAGCTTTTTTTTCCCCCTTTATTGATTTTAGAGAGAGAGGTAGGAAGAGGGAGAGAGAGATAGAAACATTAATGGGAGAGAACATAGATTGGCCGCCGCCTGCACACCCCCCACTGGGGACTTGGCCTACAACCTGGGCATGTGCCCTGACTGGGAATCGAACCAGTGACCTCTTGGTGCATGGGTCAAAGCTCCACCACTGAGCCACACCGGCTGGGCTGACCTATATTCTTAAAAAGGGCCAAAGTCATGAGTGAAAAGGCATAAGAAAGAGTTCTGGATTGAAAGAGACTAGGAAAAGCCAGGACAGCTGGGCGCAAGGTGCTCCCTTGAGTTGGATCTTTGTATTAAACACAATTGGGACAGCTGGTGAAACTTGACCTTGCAGCATTTCCACTTGGTGTGTGACTGTTAAATTAATTAAACAAGAGGCCAGTAGACTGAGGTCGCTCTAACACCTTGGTGGCCCATGAAAGCAAACCAGTATCTAAGCCAGTAAATGCCCCAAGGTTTCGACCAATCACAACCAACTAGGCTTTAACTGTGGCCAATCAAACACTTCCCTTGTCTTGCCCCACCTCTTCTCTATAATAGCTGTTCCCCCAGGTTCCCATGGGTGGAGACTTCCCAAGCACCTCTAGTTTGGCACTGAGGGGCTCCACCTGATTTTTGCTCAAAGAAATTCTTAGACTCTTACATATGCCCCAGTTTATCTTAACAGAACCTGTTTCAAAATAAATCGTAAGGGGTGTGTGTGTGTGTGTGTGTGTGTGTATGGGTGTGTGATATATAAAGCAGACACAGCAATTTTTCAAAAGAGCCTTCTGCCCTGGGGAGGGGGCTGAGCACCTTTAGGCCATGCTGTGTCCACCTCTGTGGCTGCCTGTGGCCTTGTAAAGTTGCCCCGGACCAGCGTGCAGAAATAAGTCCAGTGCACGTCACAAGTCATCCCGGTTCTTACCCCGCAACTTCCTCATGTTAGCCTCAAACTAAGCAGAAGCAGAAGAGGGACTTTTTGTTGTGATGTCTGTTTTCCTAACTGAGGTTCTTTCTCTCTGTGTCTCTCAAAAAACCCGTTTTTTAAAGTGACAGGACGAGGAGAACAAATGATTCTGAAAAGGCTGATGTTTCTTAGTGGCCACAAGCCTCTTGTTTCAGCCCAAAGTATGGCGCTTTTTCCCCAGCAGAAGATAATCTCTAAGCAAGCTGTAGGACCCCTTCTCATTTCCATCGCTGGAGTGGGGGGTCAGACACAGAGACAAAGCAAAGAGAGGTGGGGTGGAGGCAGATCCAGTATAAGGAATTTTCTGCCCCACAACCACTGACAAAGCCCTAGATGGTTTGGCCCCTTTGGCTTTTGTGATGCAAATATCTGGCAAGGCCCCAGAAGGGCTGCTCCCCTCGGAGCTGCCTGAGCTCTGCAGGGTGCCTGCCCCAGGGCAGCAGGCAGGGGGAGCTAGAGACCTACAGCCTTTATAGTGGCTGGACCCACAGACCACGGGGAGGGGCTCCTTTCTGGCAGGGTCTGGGCAGCTGTCTGCGCCCCCAAGGTGAAGTGCAGGCCATACACCCTGTGACTTGCATTGAGCCACTCAGCAGTGAGTCCCTGGTCAATTTGGCCTGGCCTGGGCCTTGCAGAACAGTGCAGGTTTATACGCCACATCAAATTCTCAGAATCGAGAGCATGAGTTAGAGCTGATAATCCATGTCCCTGGAGATGAACAGAGTGACTTCCAAAACAGAAATTCAGCTTTTGTGTGAAGGCAGAATTTCAAAGAATGTCACATAGTCTGAAGCTTTCATCTGCCACTCTGCATCCCCCCCCCCCCCCCCCCCCGTCCCAACCCGGTGTCCCAGTACTCGGCACGCAAACATTATCCACTTTGCTACGTGACAGGAAACCTACAACTCCATTCTCAAGTGTGGATGCTGGGGAGAGCAGAGTCAAGACTTCATTCAGGGCGCTTAGTTCAAGCCACACCTCAATTTTCTCATGTGAGAAATGGCCACAGCTGATTCCGGCAAGGAGAAATGACTTGAATACTGAAGGTTTAAAATGAAACTGTTCATGTGTGAATGAACAATGTCAACGACTTTTATAAACAGAAACACATGTAGCTAGACATGCATACAGTCCTCGTCTGTGTCATGTGTATGACTGGATGGGAGGGAACTGACAATTTATACAATTGTTGTTTGTTTTTAAAACCATTATTTAGGGGCTTTGCTATGTCCAAAATAACTGTGGGACTCTTTCCAGTGCCCCTCATACAGCCAAATTTGGGAGCAATGACTTCAAGCAAATAAAAAGTACTTGTACATTCTCCAGATTGGGAAGAACTCATCCAATACCTCACTGCTATTTTTCTTAGGAAGCTAGAATCCCTAAGGGGACATCAGCCCAGTATTGACCAGAGTGTTAGAAACGGACACTCTCATAACTGCACAGTCAAGTATAAATGAGGACATTTCAGCAAAATGGGGATGTTCGTTTCAAAACAGCTTTAAAATGTGCATAGTCTCTGAATCAGGAATTTCAGTCCAACAAAATAATTTAAACTTCACAGTGATTTTGGTCAATGGAAAGCTGATTGGAAAACACTCACAATTATGACAAAGAAACGAAAAACAATGTAAATGCTCAACAACAGGAGGATGGTTAACTGCATTGAGCCCATTCCTCACATTATTATGTTATACTGTGAACCAACTGACCTGACACAGCTTCAAAAAATGAAATAATAGCAACAATAAATATGATGAGGGGAACAAAATTCAGCCACATGAAAATACAGTCAGGTCTAAAGGGCAGGCTACAAAGAGCGTGGTGTGCTAATTCTACTCTGTAAAGCCTGCACGTGTGTGTGCGTGTGCATGTGTGTGCGTGTGCACGTGTGTGTGTGTGTGTGTAAGAGAATATTTAGAAAGTACATACACCACGATGTCAAAAATGTTTCTCTCTGGGAAGGTGCGTCAGATGTGACTCGTATTTCCCTGCTTCTGCTAATGTACACTTATCTTCTAAACAACAAATAATTTGCTTGATTAAGGACAAAAAGCTATTTTAAAAAACGGTGAGTTTTTGTAAATACACACATTTAACTTTTCCCCTCTAGACCTTTCTGCTCAGGGTGGTGCTAACGGCTTACTCATCTTCGAAGGGCGTACTTTTCCTGTCACGGTGCCACGGGGAGGAAGCTGTGCGGACGCTGCCCTGTCACCCTGGCCCTGCTCTCCCGGTTCGAGGCCAGCGGGGCAGAGAAGGGCACCAGCCGAGCGGCCGCTGTGTGCGCAGAGGCTCAGAGCCCGTGTTTCTGCACCCCCGAAGGACAGCAGTGCTGGTCACCCCAATGGGACCTAGAGTTGCAGGTGCACAATCTTCTTCTTTCAAATAAACTGGCATACTAGAAATCTTTTCAGAAATCTTGTGTTTTTTACAGTGCCCATTCCTGAGTGCCCCCTGCCTGGCCCCGTCCCTCACTCAGGTCGGGGCACCGCGCCCCCCACAACTTTATGTACGTGTCAAGCTGAAACTAGGACCAGACTCTCCAAAGTCCACACTGACGGGAACATTCATCCGGGTGTTCAATGCGGTCCTCTGCCCAAGTGACACGTCCTGGTGGCTCCGCGGTGGCCCCTTCCGGTGGCAGCGGGAGAGAGACCTTTCAAAGCTCAGCCGCGGGTAATGACAGGCAGGGGAGTAATCTCTGAATCTCATTAGAGCTCAAAGTCAGGAGAAACACTCTAGCTACCGGTCTTCAGTGTTTCCTGCAGTTCCCACACGGCCTCCGAGAAACCCTGGCCTTTCCCAGCAGGAGTCTGCCCGGGTCTGAACCCCTTCCAATCTGCAGGGTCTGTGCAATGTGTGTGGCTTCTCTTCCCAAGGGTTTCCTGTCAATGAATTAAAGCTTCGCTCTAAGTTTAATTGAGAAGCCAAGTTTCCTTATTAAAAAAAGGAAAAAAAAAAAAAAGCCTCTCTTTTCTTTTCATCTGAGCAAAAGATCTGGAAAAAAAAATAGCGGAGGATCAAATGAGCAGCATTTTAGGCGGAGGGGCAGGCTCCCGCGGAAGGAGGGCATGGCCTTGAACTTACACACAGCGGTGAGGAGGGCACGGAAGGCGCTCCAGGGGGACAGCAGTCCTCCCCAGGGACACAGGGCGAACGGACGGAGAGAGAGACAAATGCCAGCACATCTCACCTCGGCGTGGGCTTCGGTTCTGTGGATCTGCCGAGGGCCGGGCTGTAGGGAACCCGCGGGGGTGGCCTATGCATCCTAAGTAGTTACATGTTACAGCGAGTGTAATATGTCATTTTAGAAAGGAACTCGATTACGGGGGTTCACATACGGTCACTCAGGACCGACGTTCTCTCGTGCTGTCTCCAGTCTTTGGTCTGAGGGCTGTGATTTTGGGGGGGCCCGCTACAGATCAAAATGACCCATGCAGTAAGGCAATGGCACAGGTAAGAAGCAATGATGTTGAAAGACAAATACATAGTATCCGTTTTCACGCTTCTTCTTCTTAAGCAAATGTGGTACTGTGCCTTTGTTGAGTGTTAGGGCGTTCAACTGTGTGCTCCCAAAATTCCCATCCTGAATCCCTGACTCCCAGTACCTCGGAATGGGACAGCAGGTTCGAAAGAACCATTAGGGTGTGTCCTGATCCAATCTGACTGGTGTCCTTATTAGAGGAGGAGATTTGGACACACAGAGGGACGCTAGGATCCGTGCACACGGGAAAGACCACGTGAGGACACGGGAGGCGGCTGGCTACGAACCCAGCAGAGAGGCCGCAGAGAAACCAACCCTGCGCCTGTGATCCCAGCCTCCAGAACTGTGAGAAAAATGCATGTCCGTTGTTGAAGGGCCCCGTCTGTGGCATTTTGTGACGGCAGCCCTGACACACTAACGTGATGAGACATGAAACACTAAAACTCCTAGCATGCATTTCTCCTCGGGGTCAAAGGACAGAACCGCCCCACCCCTGCCCTCGGGGCGCATAGCACAGGGACCTCCGCCTTCCAGGGTACTTACCCATGTAACTGCAATTACAACACAGTTCCAGTGCATTTAGAAGTAGTAACACAATATCACTCTGAATATTGGAAAGCTTAAGCCCCCGGACACCTCGATGTGTGTGGCAGGGCCCCCTAACACGAGCGGGTTACTTTACAACTGGCTCCGGTACGTTGCTTTTGATACATCCATGGCTGGGACTTTGATAAATCAAAGAACGTGGGGACATTTTGACCTTCGGGTTAAATGCGTTGTAACAATGACTGAGGCAGAACCCTGCAGGGCTCGATGTCTGGCCAGAAGCAGCATTGGGCACGGAGCAGGGCCAACCATGTGTGGCAATCCTGGAAAGTTGTCCAGGTCCCCGTGATGGCTTGGTAATCACCGGGAACAAGAAAGGGGGTCTCACTCATGTCCCACTGGGTTGCAGCCTGGAGCTTCCCACAGACAGAGCCCTCTGCCTCCTTGTCCTCGGTCAGGCCGTGTGCATCCCTCCGCTCACTCAGCTTCCCTCCCGCTGATTGAGGCTCTGACGCCAATTTATAGTAACTTCAGATTCTGAAAACACCCAGAATTCGCGTTCCCTGCCCACGCCAAGCTGAGGTGTCCCCAGAATGTCACGAGCAGTGTTGTAGGCATCGTTCAAAAAACAAAAGATACCTGCCTAAAACGGACCCTGCCCAGATGCCACATCTGCTCACCTGTCCTCTTAGATTTGTTCATTTTCCTGATTCACTCTTAGATCTTGTCTCTACTGGTCTATGAGGTGAGGCCCCCCTACTCCAAACTCTACAGAACATTCTTCTATGGGAGATATTCCTGTTGCTATAAAGCATCCTCTCTTTGAATGAGAAACAAAAAAAGAATCTTTCACTGGTGCCAAATGCAGAGACTAAATAATACCCAGTGTGGGAGGAGACAGGAAGGAAGGGCGGGACGGGCTGAGATAGCTTCAGCGTTCAGTCATCAGTTCATCCTTTGACTGGTCCGGCACTGAAGAGAGATTTTAATGACTCGGGTTTATACCCCCATGCTCAGTATTTACTCTTTCCAAATAAATATCTACCCAACTCTGCCCATCATTGACTCCGCATACTGAGATGCAGTTAGCTGGCTCCGCATTTCCAGTACTCGACAGTCTACCAGCGGCACTGACCACATGGGGATGAGAAGGCTCCTGTGGACGCTGCCCTGGCGGTCCGTGGTCCGGGAGCTATCTGTGCACACATGCAGGTCACCAATCGGCTCCTTACCCTGCCTGTCCCGCAGAGAATCAAAGCCTTCCCCTAGACGGTGAGCTCCTGAGTCCACATGTCCCTTTCTTGCTCAGCATGGAATCCAACTCCTTCGAGGCCCACTGACTGACGCCCCCTTCGGAAAGGTTCCGGGAAGCAGCTGGTCCAACCTCTAGACTCAACGCTCTTGGAAGGAATTACGCCTCAACCGACTCCTGCCTCCATACATGTTTGGACGGCAAGTCTCACATCTTTTAAGTTTTTCCCAACTTGGACTCCTTTGCATACAGTCAGTATTTAACAAATATTTATTGCATTTAATTTTAAATAATTGAGGTCATCTATTTCATCATTTGAATGTTAATTTTTAAAAGCTTTCTTCGGGGATGCTATTTTTGACCTGGTTTAAGACTCTGAGGCTGAGTTATTCTCTCTCTCTCTCTCTCTTTTTTTTTTTTTACTGATTGGGGAAAAAACATTTCTCTTGGGGATATATATTCTGTAGAATCATTACTTTAGTGTAGGAAAGGGCCTTTGAGATAATGACCTAATATTTTCCCCATAAGTCTGACGTCTCGGGTTATCTGGTGGAATGTCTCCATCTTGGGACTCAGAGCCCGTGCACCTGGCTGGGGGCTCGGCTCCCTGCGCCCCCACCAGCCTGTCTGCAGCGGCTCAGATCCTGGCTCGCCGGGGACAGAGGACACAGTGACGCCGAGACAGACCTGCTCCCAGACGCTGTCGTAAAGCCTTTCCTTGCCCTCCTGAACCTGGGCACCTCTGGGCTTTGTGGCTAGAAACTGCGTTGGGGAGAGGGACCGCGCCGGAGCGGCAGGGGGCAGGCTGGAGTCTGGGGGGAAGGTGCTTACTCGGTGCCGCTTTCCACCATCTGGGTGAGGAGCAAGATGCCGTCCAGGTTGATGAACTCCTGGGCGAAGGTGACATCCCGGGACAGGCTGGCCAAGTCCTTCAGGGCTTCCAGCTTGGAGTCCATACTGGACGACTGGATGCGCTCGTGGAGCTGCTGGGCGTTCTGAGCCTGCGGGGAACACAAAGGGCAGAGTGTGCACAGAGGGAACGCCACCGGGAATGGGGGACTCAGAGGCCCACAGCAGGAGACTGCTGGCACCTGCCAGGGCGGGTCCCCCACCAGCGACGCCCCCTGCAGGCCACGTGCGCTCACTTCCCCCCGGGCAAGAATCTCCGCCTTCTGACAGGGCCTCTCCATCAGGACAGAGCCGCAGAACCGTGCGGCAGTGAGGAGGGAGTCGTGGCAAACACGTGTACCACGGAAGTAAACTGTGCATCTATAAATGACGGAGAGCTTTGTACCGAGTCCAACTGCACGCATTTCAACCGCGTGTTCGCCACCTCGGCCAGCACGGTGACAACTGTCTGTGCAGGGATCAGAGCGTCAACAGACACCCACACCGTCTTTCTGGGTCACGGACAGTCTCCCAGCACAACGCGGTGACGCTTGTCAATTCCCTTTTTCCTACAACACGCGCTTCCCATACATTTGCTCCTTAGGCACAAATTTAGGACAAAATGATTGGGTCACCAAATTAGGAGCTTAGCCTGGAACTGGACCTCTTTGGAGGCACTGTCAGTTGGCTGGACCGTACAGGGCGGGGGATGGAAACACAGAGGACCTGAATTTCTGGATAACAGCTCGTCAGCTATATTTCTCATTTGCCCCGCGAAGGTTTTCATCCCTCCCTTCCAGTCAAGGCAAGCGGCAAGAACAGAATTATTAAATTTCCCTGCCTGTTTTTTCGCTTAACAGAAATAACTGAACATCTGCTGTAGTTATTATTTAACTCAGAACTGCAGCGGCTGAAGCACTCTGCCACCCTCATATTCTCGGCCCCTCGCTGTCCCTCTGAAACGGCATTCTATTTCGGAGGCAGGGAGAAATGGGGTGTTTGAGCCCAACAATGAGGTACCTTCTGAAAAGAAACTCATTAGGCGTATCTGAGGGGCCCCGTGAACTGGAACAGGGAAGATCTCAGTGGAGGACGGGAGTCCACACAGGTCCAGAGAGCACACAGACCCCACCCCAGCAGGCTCCCCCTCCCTGCCCAGGTCCCCCTTCACTGGGAGGGCCTGGAAAGTTCCCATAACCGTCCACACTCCCCTGCCCTCGACCCAGTGTCTGAACACCACTGCCCAGTTTGCAGGGTGGCGCCCTGTTTAAAAAGATTTTTAAATATATTTTTATTTACCGCTGACATGCAGTATCATCTTAGTTGCAGGTGTACAACACAGTGATTAGACACTTCTATACCTTACGAAGTGAAGCCAGCAATTTCACTTCTGAGTGTAGATCCAAGGAAACCCAAAGCACTAATTCAAACAGAGACATGCACCCGTGTTCACTGCAGCGTCGTTTACGCACCTAGGACGCGGGAGCAGCCGCGTGCCCATCGGCAGACGGGCGGGTAAAGGTGAGGTACCTGAATACCACAGGATGCCACTCAGCCATCCAGAAGAGTGCAAGCTTGCCGTTTGCTCCGGCATGGATGGGCCCACAGGGCACGAGGCTCAGGGACATGTCCTGGTGTCCTTCTCCATCAAGGGACTTCCCTCCTCCCCTGGGGCCATCATCTAGGGAGTCAACTCTTCAGAAAAATGTCCAAGTTCCCGCAGTGTTTGCTGCTGGCTACGTTTTCCTCTGGCTTTGAGACAGAAGTCAACCCTCGGAAGGGGTGCACCGTTCCTGAGACGGGAGGGCTGTGGCCAGCGGGGTGGTGGGAAGGCTCCCTGTACGCGGAGTGAGCACGCGGGCTAGAGGTCCAGCTCTGTGACCGGGCAGCGGTGGCGTCTCCGCGCACTCCCTCACCCTCTCTCGGCCTCGGGTACACGGAGGACCTGTGATGACATCACGCTTGATGTTCCCTCCAACCCACAGGGTCACAGGTCATTTCTCAGGTGGGCAGGGGCCCTCCTCACAGAGTCTTCCAAGGAAAGGTGCTACCCCGATGTCTGTCCCCATGTGCGCCCCAATTAAAATATCACATCCAACTGCTGGGACCTTTTCAAGGCAATATTTCTCCAGTTGGAAACAAATATGTTTTCTTTTTACCTTCTCTAATTTCTAAATAATGTGGACATCAAACTCTTATTGTAAAAGTGAATGTGGAAATAACGTTTTATTATTAAAATATTGGGTGTTTGTGCCCTGGCCGGTTTGGCTCAGCGGTTAGAGCGTCGGCCCACATACTGGAAAGTCCTGGGTTCAATTCCCGCTAAGGGCACGTACCTCAGTAGTAGTTTGTCCCCGGCCCCGGTTGGGGTCGTGTGGGTGGCAGCCAGTCGGTATGTCTCTCTCACATTGATGTTTCTCTCTCTCTCTCTTTCTCCTTCTCTCTCTCCTGCATTTATCTGAAGATAAATGCAAATGAGTCCTCAGGAGAGGATAAAAAAACAAAAATTGGCTGTTTGTAAGGAAAACGCACTTTCTCGGCATCAGTTATTACCAAAGGTTATGCCGCACAGGATTTTACTTGGGTTCTATTCCGACATGTCTTTATAGTGGTCCATTTCCAAGCTCTGCCCCTTCAAAGCCAACGCCAGAATCCTCGCTCACGGGGTGAACACCTTTGGGGCGTGCACCTCGAGCCGGGGGCACTGCTCCGCGTCAGGGGTCGAGGGGCAGGTGCCAAGGTCCCCAGCCTCTGGGGCTTCCACTGCAGGCGAGGGGTGAACAGTGAAACGCGGCAACAAGAAAAGGTAAATACTGATGCGCTTCATGGCAAAACCTAACACTGGGAATGGGACAGAGAGGGGCTGGTGGCCTTTAAGAGAGGGCAGTTTTCGGGGACAAGCAGCCTAAGGAAGTGACATTTATGGAGAGATTTGATTGACAAGGAAAAGCTAGTCACACTGGGGAGGAGGAAGCTGGAGTTCTTTCTTTCCTTTTGTGACAGCATTTATTTTTCACTTATATTTTTATCAGCATATTTTTCATTTACAGTTGACATTCAATATCATTCTGTGTTAGTTGCAGGTGTACAGCACAGTGGTGAGACATTTATATAACTCATGAAGTGTTCTCCCAGTACGTCTAGTACCCACCTGGCACCGTACAGAGTTATTACAATATTATTGACTATATTCCCCGTGCTGTACTTGACATCCTCAGAATTATTTTGCTTTGGTTTTTTGTTTGTTTGTTTTAAAATATGTTTTTACTGATTTTCTAGAGAGAGAGGAAGGGAGACAGAGACAGAAACATCCATGTGAGAGAGAGACATCCATTGGCCACCTCCTGCACGCCCCCTACTGGGGACCGAACCCACAACCCGGGCATGAGCCCTGGCCAGGAATCAAACCGGGACCTCTCAGTCCCTGGAAGGATGCTCAGTCCACTGCGCCACACTGGCCTGGCCCTGTGACTATTTTGTAAGTACCAATCTCTACTTGTCAACTCCTTCAACTTTGTCACCAGCTCCCCCCTCCCCGTCCCCTCTGCCAACCATCAGTCCGTTTCAACTTTGTTTATTTGGTTCTTTAGCTTCCACATAAAGTGAACGGATTTCTGGGCAGCAGGAAGGGTTAGTGCAAAGGAGGAACAGGAGGCACAAGCCTGGCCTGTTCAGAGGGACAAAGAGGACCAGTGTGTCTGGGGTGAGGGGGCAGGGGGGGCTGGGGCGCTGGGGCGCACGCTGGCGGAGCCCTGGTGGGCGGTCCGCTGCCCTGACGGACAGGACACACGTGAACATCAGAGACTGGTGGTGGCCCCTTTGGGGCACTTAAAATAGCACTGTGCTTAAACACTAGACGCAGCCACAGTGTTCGATAGTAGGACAAGGATTAAATAACTCATGACGCGGTCACAGGATAAAATACCGTATGAAATTAAACATGCAACTTTCAGAGAACATACAATAGCGTGGGCACATCCTCATGAGGCACTACTGGGAGGATGCAAATGTAGCTAATTGTTTGTGGGCAGGGGCGTGTGTGCAAGTGTGTGGGGGTCCCTGGAATGCAAACTCCCCGAGAAGAAGGCATTGTCAGACTGGCCCCCCGCCTGACTCCCAGTCCTCAGAACAGTGCCTGGCATTAATGGGAGTAAAAAAAAAAAAATCTACTAAATGAATGAATAAATAAATGAATTTATATGCACACATGTGTACATATATTTGCACAAAAATGACCAAAAGAAACAAACCAAGATATGCCCCATAGTTATTTATGAATTCTTATATTCTGCATAATTTTCTTTGCAGCAAGCTTCACTTTTCAAATTTTCCATGACGCTGCAATATTTCTACATTTGGGAGAAAATCAACATTATTTAAAAATAAAGTAGCTTCGGTCCTGATTTTTCAAGCAGTCAGCACAATGAAGAGTCTAGTGGTACGTTGTTTTCTTTCATTGTTCTAAGGACAGAAAACAAGTTTCGTCCCGAGGCATTCAAACAGCTGACCAGAAGTCCACCTTCCTCCTCCCCAACGTTCCTGAAGGTCCTGATTAAAATTATCCTCAAGAATCTTCAGTGTGGCCCTGGCCGGTTTGGCTCAGCGGTTAGAGCGTCGGCCTGCGGTCCGGAGAGACCCGGGTTCGGTTCCTGCTAAGGGCATGTACCTCGGGTGCAGTTTGTCCCCGGCCCTGGTTGGTCGTGCGGGTGGCAGCCACTCGATGTGTCCCTTTCACATCGATGTCTCTCTCTCCCTCCCTCTCTCTCCCTCCCACTCTGTCTGTACAAAAAAATGGAAAAATGTTCTCGGGTGAGGATAAAAAAAAAAAAAAAAAAAGAATCTTCAGTGTGGTTCCAGGTCCATGACACCAATTAAGAAGTCATCTAAAAGGGCCTTACGTAGGCGCACACGCTTCACAGATATTTCCAAATGCACACTCAGTGTTGCCCGCAATCCAACTTCACTCCCCTGGACGGCCTGCCTGTCCCTGCAAACGACTCCTTCACACCCTCTTCTCCCCTTGAGCTCCCCGCCCCCGCCCTGCTCTCCAGCGGGGACCCTGCCTCACGAGTCACTGAGGAGATCTCAGCGCTCAGCCAGGAGGCTCTTCCCC